TTGGATCTCTGCGAGTCATGACGAGCCGGGCCTTGAACTTATCAGAATCCTGTCTTGTGGATCTACTCTGTCTACACCCTCCCCGACGGGTCCAGTGCATGATGCTTTTCTGGAAGTAGAAGGCTACCTGGCCTTTGTTTCGAACAATTCTTCGGAGCTTGGTGGCATCTTAGCTCAATTCTGGGACTGTAAAGCGGTGTGGTTCGACGAGGGAGAAGCTGCTCTGAAAAAGTACCAAGGGCCTTTTTACTTGCTACCTGTGCTGTCGACTTATTCCTGGACAAAGCATGGATTGGACAAAGGGTTCTATTGTATGAGACTTCTGATTGTTACCCCTGCTACAAATGGGTCACAGGACATGATCCGCATTGGAATGGCTTTTGTGAGGAGGGATGACTTCTTTGTTGAGAAGGATGAGATCCAGCTCCGAGAGCAAGGCCAGTCACTGGCAAAGTTCGCAACCAAGGGGAACAAAGTTAAAGCTAGGCTAGTATAGATAGAATGGAGCAATGCTGATATCCTGGAATCTCAGAAATTTTCTTTTAACCTACCAGTGTTTTGCTGTACAATGGAGACCACAACTACCAGTAAGAACGCCAGCTCTCGAGGTTCTCAAAACTGATATCATACGGTGGCCCAAAACCCACCCTAGCATCTTCCACGGACATCAAGATACAACTAATACGCCCTTACATGTTACGAATTGAATTTCACGCGAAGCGCTTGTGTTTGTTAAACACAAAATCTTTCGGAAAAGATCTGTCCCCTGAGCGGTTACGGCTAAGGCAAGGTAAAATCAGCCAAGCGAGCACATCGGGGAGATTCCAGTCTATCGATTCTCGAGCGGGTCATAGGAATTTCATGGAGCCAATAAGGACTCGATGCTTGACATCGGCGCACAATGTTGGTGTGTGCGACAGAGTGCCTAGGATGATTACTAAGCAATCCGGGGCTACTCCAATTCAATTCGTACTGGTGTAACGGAGTCTCTTGATGAAGAAACGGTAAAATTTGCCAGTTTTTCCTTGACCTTAGCTCTTGATCTCTCATCAGCTTCTGATGACATTGTGTGCCTTGCTGAAGAAGCAAGTAAGATAAGGAAAATTACATCCTGAGGTCGTACGAATCGATCATAGGCTCATGCAAGGCGTACTGGGATATAACAGCCAATCATCAACTTCCATTCAAGGACGTGAGAGATAGCCTCTTGAGCTAGCTGGGATGCTTTGACTAGGAGAGTCTGCCTTACCCCTGACAAGGATTTTAGTTTGACAATATATGTGTATATAAACTTGCCACATAACGAGACTAAACCCACACAGTTCCAACCCTTAGACACGTGATAGCTCTCCGCCTTCGCTCTCTTTCACGTCAATAAACATGACTTTCGGAGAGCACCTTAGACGACACATTTTCAGGCTGCTCGGAAAACAACAGTTGGTTGCACAAGGTGCTTCACCCCCTCTGGACCCGCCTGAAGAAGCCAGAAATGCGTCGAATGATCCTGACTTTGACCTTTCCAACTGGCCGCTGGTAAATGGGGATAAACCTGCTTTGTGCGAAAGATGGGAGAAATGGAAGAACGCTCGAGAGTCGTTGTCGGACCCTTCATTGCTTGAGTTTGACACAAAGTGTCAACATACACAGGGTCAGTGCTGTTGGGGTTGTGCAATCGCTTGGCACATCATGGAACCTGCAACGCGTGCCAGCAGACAAGCTGGCCAAGCTGTGAGAGTTAGCGCACGACAACCTTACCAAAGTATGTCCACCGTGGCATTGGAGTATGCACCTCGAGTGGATAATAGGGAGCATGTGATAATTTCTGGAATTCAAGGTCAGTTTGCCTGCTACCACTGACTTTTTGGATGGGCCTAATGATGCATGTCTCTTTCAAGGGATGCCCAATCCCTGGGACAGTAGGCCACGTTCTTATTCATCAACTGGATCTGCCGAGACTCTGAATCATATTAAGAATTGGTTGACAAATTGCTTGTCGAACCACGCGCAGTGCACTTCGGTGTATCACGACCTCATCGGGCCGCCGACGATGCCACCAAGAGTTCTTGATCTAGGATCAGATCAAGAGACGCACCTGGTTTGTCTGATTGAACCTGGGGATCAGCACGAGCGCTATATTGCCCTCTCCTATCCATGGGGAGGCACCAGCTTCATTAAGACCGTACGAGATACCCTGGAGCGGCATAAGCAGGGGATTAGGTTCGATGACCTCCCACGGACGTTTCAGGATGCGATCAGGATATGTCGCTTTCTTGGGGTCCGCTACCTTTGGATTGATGCGCTTTGCATCATCCAAGACGACACAGATGATTGGAAGGGGCACTCGAGGAGTATGGGCGAGATTTATCGGCAATCATTTCTCACAATTTCGGCCGTCTTCAATACCTCTCCCCATAGCGGCCTCTTTTCCGAGCCGCAAGTCCGCCGCGTTGGTCCTGTCATGGTATTTAAAACACAACACCCTTTTGATGCGACAAAAGACGAACAGATATCTCGCGGCTTTCCATTGCTTACCCGAGGCTGGACATTCCAAGAGCGTATGCTCTCTGCGCGCACGCTTCACTTCTCCCAACAGGAGGTTCTCTGGGACTGCATGGACACACTCACCTGCCAATGCGGATCCTTTGATCCCAGCCGCGGAATCAGCCATCTGGAATCCTTACGAAATCAAACATCCGACGTCTTCTTTCGCAAAAGATTCCTAAAAATGGATGAGAATGATAGAGTAGTCTCAGTGACTTCCGATCGAGGTGGTACTGAAATCCTCTTCGGCCGCTATGACTTGCCAGCAGAAGCATTCATCACCTCTACCAAAGAGTTTTCGGAACTATGGTGTCAAATCGCTTCGAGATTTTCAGCACTGGAGTTAACTTATAAGTCTGACAAGCTTGCGGCTATTGCAGGGTTAGCTGACAAGATAGAACAAGTGACGAAGTGGACATATTGCGTTGGTCTTTGGGCAGACACTCTGCTGACAGATTTGTGTTGGATCCCGGGGGTTCGGGAGTCTTCTCTTCAGACATGCCAGCGTCTTCCTTGGTCTACTTGGTGGAAGGAGATCCCTCCGTTTTGGGATTGGAACTCCATTGCACACGACGATTTGCCTTTCATTCCACCATCCTGGTCTTGGGTTTCAATTGACGGACCTGTCTGGTGGCCCCAGGAAAGGTTCTCCCCCAGTTCAGATATGCAGAGAGACATTTTGCTTGCGACAGTCCTTGGCTCCCAAACCCAAGTCTTCCCAGAAACCTTGGACTATAGCAGGCCCCCGATACGAAGTCGATATCTGGAGTTGAATGTTCAACATATTAGTCTCTTCCTTGAGCCGCAGCATCGCAAACGTGATGTGATGTTGGGCAAGCTACGGAATTTTTCTGACTGCAAGATGGCAGTGGTTGAAGAAGGGTATGATCTTTGGGACGGTGTTGCTGCGCCCGTCTATTTGTTGCCGCTGGTGGTTACCCACACTTTCGATCTTGACAACCCTCAGAAAGAAGGCATAGCCAACATGTTTACGCTATTGGTGACTGGACGTGCAGAGGGATCTCACTGGCTGGTTCGGATCGGTATGGTTAAGACCCAGAACTCTGTCGATAAGCGCGGAAGGTTGCGATTTCCGAGGAAATCATTAGCGGCTTTGGCTCTTCGTGGAAAGCAGGCTATCGTTACCCTGATATAGATTCGAGGGCTTCATACTATTAAATAAGTAAATATAATCGGCAAGATGACAGTGAAATTCGTAGACTCGCGCTGGCTTCGATTTTCGAAGTTGCTACGTAAGGTTGCCTTCGCAGATGTGAGCTCATCATGTGAGCGAAAGTTGACAAGAAGCCCATTAAATCACGTGACAGCGCGTGCAACCGGATATGTGTTCGCCGCGTCTTAACAGGTGCTGACTGAGATCACTAACCGCGGGCCGTCTACATCATGATCCCATCCCTTGCATTCCATGATGCGTGTCGCGTTTTACCTGTTATTTGCCATCTCTGTTACAGAATTCATCATGATTGTATTGTATACAATAGGCTAATAAAATGCCCTAACTAACTTAAGTGAAAGATACGAGTGTCAACATGAGAGTATGGAAGAGGATGTGTGCCTCAACGTGTCCTCTTTGCTCTCGAGGCTTCTTTCTTTGCAGCACCACGCATGCCTACCGCAATTTCGACTCTTCACAGTTCTAACCTTTGATCGCAGGAACGCCAACTCCTCGAGAGGCTGGTCCAGCATGACCTAAAAGATGCCAGCAAGATGCAACTCTTCAAAGCCTTTCTCATCACAGTCGACTTCGCTGTCACAATCAATGCGGCGGCTCGATAATTTTTGGCCTGCCACAATACCACCACGATGAAAACTTGCACGCCTGGAAGGATATGAGGTGAGACTAATTATTGAGGAGGACGATTACAACTCGAAGAAGCTGCCCTACGAAACGCGTGCTGGCACTTTTCGGAAAGTCTATGAAGAGGAAGGGGTTATGTTGAAGAGCCCAAGTGGCTTGCGGAAACGGAACCACCGAATCCGAAGACAAAGTGGTCTGCCTCGAGGGCAGTAGGTTGTTAATGTTTTGAGCCATCGTTGATGGATATGGCAATTTTGGCGGGCTAAGTTCCCGGACGAGGTCTTCTCCAACGAGCAGCTTATCGAAGCCTCTGCTCCCCCCTTGACCTACCCCGAATGGAGGATTATGAACATTAAGTATCGTATAACTTTGAACGATGGCTGTGCCGAAGGCAAGGGCAAGGCGAATTGCTTGTTGGTCTGGGGCAAAGTAGTTAAGGGGGGCGTTTGGGTCAAGACTATATATTGGCTGTTGTCCCGAACCATTATGTTCGCAATTACCTGATATATGCAACGCTCGATTTGAATGATATGGATGAAGCCAAGAAGAGGAAAGTTCAACCGGTGATTTGCCCAGATCTGACGGACGACTAGTGAATGGAATATACCGAGGAAGTCAGATCAACTTTCGCGGAAGAGTTATGACGGCCTCAGCCGCGGACACAACCGCAACCAGAAGAGAGGCTTGTCCCTCGGAGGTCATGGGTTACTCCCGCACCCTGAACTGGTCATCTCCGCCCAGCAAGCCCAGCAGCAGCAGCAGCAGCAGCACGAGCAGCCTACCGCGCTCCCATACTCCACCTTCCAGCAGAAGCCCGTCTATTCTACGCCCTGCGCCGCAACATCTCCGCAAGCTAGCTTCCTATTACCCATCCCCCAACCGGCCTCTTCCCGCCTTTTCAACCCGCTTGTACCATCTATTCCCTTTCATCTGCCACTCCGTGCTTATACCAGGGTGCAAGACCGCTTGGCGCGAACAACTCTGCATCGAGAAGATCTGGTGCGAGGAAGGGGCCAAGTATGGGTACAAACGGCTGTAACCAGAGCAAGGGCATCACGCAGGATATGGACATGACTGCTGATCAGATCTGGGCGGCAATCAAAGTTGGGTAATGTGAGGAAGACAGGGAAGAAGCCGTCTAGTGAGGTAGACAAGAACGTTACTCCTGAAGGCGCCGTTGCCAAGGAGAATAAGGATGAGGATTAATCGCCGGTACAAGTGGGATATTGATTTGTTCAGGTACGCCATTGAACTTCAACGGGAGTCCTTGACTAATTTCCTCAAGGGAGGGATGATCAGTTGGCTGGGGGAAAGTTTGTTCGCCGCGAAGACATATCAGCTTGCGTGGGAGTTCTTTAGGGGAGATGTATGCTGGGAGCCGGTTGCTGTCTTGAAGGGCTTGAGGAGCCGTATGCTGGAAACCTTACAGGCGTGAAGAAACGGGGGAGTTGGATGGACAATGCTTTTTTAGTTATAGACACAATATGACCATCTAATTCCGGGATCTCATGATCGAGCCTGGAACCAGTTGGCGATCACATTTCCGCCTTCTGGCCCCTTAGTTTGGGAATCTTTTGGGCCCTGAAAATGTGTAAGTTACGGCAACATGGAACACCTGCTGAAAATAAGTTTACAAGCTGACTAAGCAAGGTCAGCCTGCCGTTCGCAAACCATCTGCCGAACGGACGATCTTCTATCCAGGTCTTCGACAGCCGTGTGGAGCTCCGGTGCCACGCGCCAATGCGAGGGAGGGAACAGAGGAGGGGACAGCAACGTCGGCATGTGTGCCAGCCATTTGTCACTCGTTACCAGGTGTCAGCGTGCCAATCTGTTGGTTCCAGGGTGACGATGCATTGCGACCCCCCTCTCTTCCTTCTGGATGGTCTTGCAAGCAAATTGGTGGCCGGGAGTGTGTGTTGACGAGAACAGCAACTTCGACAACACCTCGTTCAACTTCCCGTCACTCCGATTAGCACCGCGAGCCAATCTGCAAGTCTGCGACGGCCCGTCTCTTATTCGCGCACTTTTGTGCTTTTCATCTCAACTATTCCGATGATGCATTGGCAGCTGCACACCTCGCTAGATTGCCTAGGCCCCATATCCCGACGGCATGGCGCTGGACCGGCCCCGTTTATCCAACGGTCCGTTTCCAGCGCCGCAGCTTTTCGGGACGGCAGCGCTTCTGGTGAGCTGATTTCCGCTGACTGCAGGTCGGCAACTCTTTGGGATTGGGATGAGAGGATCTCGAGGCGCACAAGGATCTAAGATTGCGGCCGGCAGGGCTTCGCAACACATGCGGTCTCACCCGTTGGCGTTGGATTTTTCCCGAAGGCATGGAGGAGGATGACTTACCTTATACTTACATACTTTGTCGCAGATGCTGTGCAACGGCCCTACGGCGCAAGAAACATTAGAGGGATAGGCGGTCACTTTACTCAGCAAGGGCTTGAGCCAAACAGGACGTCGTCATCGAAGCCTCCTCCAGCATAGCTAAGTAGCTGCCGGAAATGCCAAGGCGCCGGCAAGGCCACGCGAGCAGTTAGTAGGCAGGCGGCTAGCTCCTGACGCGGGTGTGCCGGTGGACGCGGTAGCCGCACGATTGGACGTGACATCTGCCGATGGAGATTGGGGCGCCGTTTCCCCTCCGTGCCCCTCACCGCGGTATGCCGGTCATGCTTGAATGCTCGCTGAATGCTTGGTTGGACAAGGTTATGGAGCTTGAGAGAGGGGTGTGTGCCTTGGTCTGGGGGGATGTATCGGCTCCCGTTCCCCACGTTGCTGCGTTACGGAAGCCCCACTGCTGATGATTACAGCTTGGGTCCGTGGGCCCGGCAAACAAGATCCTTGATCATCAACCCCAACTCGCTGCTGACTAGTGAGGTCAGCAAGATTGAAAGTTGAGAAGACGCCAACATGGTTGATGATGAGCATCGTCGATGGTTGCTTGCTGGACAGATGTTATCAAATATTCTTGTATGAGAAACCGCACACAGCTCATCGGAGACGAGACTGAATGGGAAGTTAATTTTTTTTTTTGGCTGTCACTGACCCGGCCGGCCAGCTGGTCCCGAGTCGCGGGAAGTCAGCATTACTCAACCACACCAACCTAATGGTTCCGGGAAGAGGCCAACTTACCATCTGCGTGATGGTCACAGACTCATAGCCGTGAGTATGCAGTGTCCTCCCTCCGTGGGATGCCGGTATGTTGACTTGCAGCAACAGCATGCCAGCGCACCGCCAGCCAGGCAAGCTCAGTCCATCACTCGATCATCCTGTCGTATTATGTCTGTCGGGAGGCGCCACAAGCAAATATTATTTTGGCACCCGAGCCATCGGGATTCACATCCTGTGTTCTAGCCTCCTTGGCGGGCCCGTCTGCTGTTGCTCCGGGGAGTGAAGCCCGCAACCCCCTTACCATACCCCGACCCGAGCCCCAAGCTGATCAGCTCGGCATCTAACATGCTACCTGTCCTATGATCCATAATGGCCGTTACTTAGTCCAGGGCATATCTACCTGTTTAGGGGCGCTCTCCAGTCCTGTGTGCCTGACCTTATCTCTGTTCGGTCTATCCGGTGCCCTAGTAATGGTAATGCTATCCACATTCTAACATCTTCCCGACCTTTGTGTCCTCCTCTCGTCTCTTGATATCTTGTCTTCCATCTCTTCACCTTGCTCACCTAACGGGTCCGGCCTCATCAACAAGGACTTGCCTTCCCTACCTGTTTCTTACCCCACACACTGCCTGGTACAAACACCCTATCGGAAGATAACAGTTGTGTATCAGGACAGGAAGACACTTCACGACTTTGAGACCTAAACCTAGCACAAGGTCGTCATGATCACGGACCAAGTGATCCAGCTCTCTCGCCAGTACGGGCCAGCGGCAGCCGAGTTCCTTCGGCAGTACTGGCCTGGCATCCTAGCTTTCTGCCTCGTCGCCTGGCATGTGCGCAACTACTTCTACAATGGCCTCAACAAGTACCCAGGGCCATTCCTCGCCCACTTCACGGACTGGTGGCGCTTCTTCAACGTCTATGGTCGTCGACCGGAGCTTACACACATCGCGCTGCACAAGAAATACGGCCCTGTTGTTCGCTTGGGGCCGAATAGCCTCTCGTTTGCTGACCCTGACGCTCTGAAGACGATCTATGGGCTGAACAAGGGGTTTATCAAGGTATGTCTTAACAGAGAAAAACAAAGTCAGGGGCTAACAACAGCAGTCCGACTTCTATGTCGTCCAGCAGGCCGTGGTGAAGGGGAAGCCGATGCCGTCGCTGTTCAGCACAACGGACAATGACTTCCACATGCAGTTTCGGCGCTGCGTCAACGGCGCCTTTGCCATGTCGGCCCTCGTGCAATACGAGCCCTTTGTCGACAACACTACGCGCCTGTTCCTCGAGCAGACCAAGAAGCTGTACATCGACAACCCTCAGGCCTGCGACTTCACTCGCTGGCTGCAGTTCTATGCCTTCGATGTAATTGGTGAGATTACGTACAGCAAGCGGCACGGGTTCATCGAGAAGAACGAAGATGTCGATGGTATTGTCGCCTATCTGACCAAACTTTTCCTCTACGTGGCACCGGTATGGCGCTTGCCCTTTACTGTTTGACCTCAAGCGCTGACTATCCTGTCAGATCGGCCAAATCCCCCTTCTCGACAAGCTCTTCCTGAAGAACCCCATCTACCTCAAGCTCTCCGATTGGGGTCTCATCGACGCGACCTTCCCGGTCGCCAAGTTTGCCCGAGCCCGCATGTCTGAACGGTTGCCTGAACTCGAGCGCGAGAAAGAAGCCAAGAAACAAGGTAAATCCATCCTCCCGACCTCTGAGACCCGCACGCCCGACCTCCTTTCCAAATTTATTGCTGCCCACGAGGCTCGCCCCGAATTCATGACGCACAACCTTGTCCAGACTATGGCCGTTTCCATGGCCTTCGCCGGCTCCGAGACCACCGCCATTTCTCTCTCCGCCGTCTTCTACTTCCTGCTGCGCAACCCAGCCGCGATGGCCCGTTTGCGCAAGGAAATTGACGACGCTGCTCGTGCGGGCCTCTTCTCTGACTACGAGACGGGCCTGGTCACCTGGCACGAAGCGCAGCAGCTGCCGTATCTGGATATGTGCATCAAAGAGGCATTTAGGCTGCACCCTGCTCCTGGGCTTCCCATGGAGAGGATTGTGCCCAAGGATGGGATTGAGATTGCCGGTCACTGGATCAAGGGCGGCACGATTGTTGGTTGCTCGGCGTGGGTGCTGCATCGAGATGAGAAGATTTTTGGTGAAAGGGTAGATGAGTACTGGCCTGAGAGGTGGGAGCCTAAGGGGCCTGAGGATGAGGGTCGTGTTAAGGTTATGAACGGCATGATGCTGCAATTTGGCATGGGCAGCAGGACGTGCATTGGGAAGAATATTAGCTTGCTGGAGATCTACAAGCTGGTTCCGACTATGTTGAGAAGGTTTGAGGTAAGCTTAGCCCCGAAAATCATCTAGGACAAAAAGCTGACATCCAGCAGATCACCTTCGATGATCCCAACAGGGAATGGGAGATTGTCAATGCCTGGTTCGTTAAGCAGCACAACTTTATTACACAGTTCGAGCTTAGGCCGTTGGTGTTGCCGGATGAGGGGTTTCTCACAAGTGAGAAGAAGCATTGAACTTTAGACGAGGGATGTAGTTCAGATTTGTTTATCGTGTATGGAATTTCATGCTGGTTATCTGATCAAACCTGGATGCCGCCATACGCACTCGACATCTTGAGCATGGGCTTGAGCACTAGGGGCCGGAGGTAGGTAAATGGTACTGTAAGAGAACATCGAGATAAAACTGCCTGCCCAGCTTGATAGATAGTTTTTCACAGTAACCAGACGTCTCTCACCGGGGCGTTTCCTCCGGCCATCAAGTGACAAGACAACGAAGGCTGGGTAATTTCCAGACCTAAGGGAGGGGTGCAGGATTATCTTATCTCTTATCTTATCTACATACCCCTGGGGAACAACCCGCAGCTCAGCTCAGGGGTAGGTGAGGCTCAGCTTAGAGGGGTCATCAACAAACGCTGATGCCTTTCCTTTCGGGGTGGCCAGAATCGAGCAATATCAACGTTCTCAAATTGACAAGCCTGAATTACGCTGCCAGAAAGGTCTATCAGTGTTTTGCCAGCATGTCCTGTCCGGTTTGTAATCATTTTGAGGATTTCGAAGAGAAACTGTCCTCTGAAGGCACTTTTGAGCGTGGAACATATCTTGAATACCGCAAATCAGGACAGAACGGATGTGACGCCTGCCTTGTGATATGGCGCTCTCTTTTCGGTTTCGGTCAGAAGCTGGGTTGGCACGAGCACTACGAACGACGAAACCCCCCAGTCACATTCAGCTGTACCGGAACAACCCTTGACCTAGAGGGGCCATGGAGAATCGAGCTCCCTGCGGTTCACATGGATACCAGAAGCATACGGATCACCCTCCTCTCGCTTTCACCAAATGATGCCCTTCCGAAACCATGGTCCAGACTCCTGGACTCGACTTATATTATGCCTATGACCCCCGACTCTCCAGAATGTTATGAGCAGATTAGACAGTGGATTGCAGAATGTGAGGCCATTCACCCACGGTGCAAACCACGAGGACGGGAGTTACGCGACGGGATGGTGCCCCTGCCAACCCGCGTTGTCGATGTAAATCCTACACCAAACGGCCTTTCCCCGTTTCTCTTAGAAACTCAAGGCGCTTTGGGAAGATATGTTGCTTTGTCCTATATGTGGGGCAATGGACTCCCCTTGAAATTAACAAAACAGAGCTTGAATGCTTTCAAGTCTTCCATCCCATGGGAAAAGATTCCAAAGACACTACAGGATGCGATGATTATTGCTCATCGAGTCGGACTTCGGTATATCTGGATCGACTCACTGACAATCATCCAAGACGACCGAAATGACTGGGAGGTCGAGGCAAAAAAGATGGCTGACATTTACAGCAATGCGTACTTCACGATTTCTGCCGCGGAATCCGTCGATTGCCACTACGGCATCCTTAACCGGCGCGACGCCTCAATTGAACATATCCAAGTTTGGCCGCCGCTTCCCGACCAGAAGGGAGATGAGGTCAAGATTTTCTACTCTGACGAACTTCTCCCTGGTCGTATCTACGCTAGAAGGATGTGGTCCCGTTACCAAAGACTTTGGCCTGTGGACAAACGTGCCTGGACATTTCAAGAACGAATCCTGTCGCCACGCGTGCTCTGCTACTCCCGGGACGAAATTGTATGGTCCTGTCGCTGTGCTACTGCGACTGAACTTTGGCCATCGCTCGACCCAACTCCTGGCATGGACGCTTTAGCTAAAGCACTGAGCTTCGATAGTTTGTTTAATATCGACGAAGGGTCGTTTGTTGAAATTATGACTCTACTCCCCAGGTTCTTGGATGCAGACGACATTGAAGAATACATATCAGATCCAGAAAACATCAAAGAGTACCTTTCGGACTTCTGGTGCAAGGTAGTCGAACAATATGCCACCCGCCATTTAACTTTTCTTTCCGACAAACTTCCCGCCATTTTCGGTATTGCAACTGCTCTCCGCTCAGACCCAGTCAGAGCGCTCCTCCTAGGCGCTTACCATTGGGGTATCTTTGAGGGGACGCTGCCAAGGTCGCTTGCTTGGCATACTATACCCAGCGACAAGCGCCAGCTTTTTGATCGGAGTATCTCTACAAGCTGCCAAGCCCCTACGTGGTCGTGGGCCTCCGTCGAATCTTATGTATTGTTCATCTTCACTAGGTGGGAGTCTCGGGCGAAGGATCAGTGCAAATTGGTGGCCATGAGTGATGATGAGATCACGCTCAGGGGACGTGTGGTAACCACAGAAGTGGAGTGTATAACCGATAACGACCGCATGATTGGCTTTGGGCTACCGTTGTACAACTACGATTGTAGCCGCAAATTTGTGAGGGTGCTTTGGGATATGAGCACTGGCTTGGTAGCGCAGTTGCCCAAAGCCGTAACGTGTTTGCTTCTGGGATATGAAGAATCGCACATGCACGATCTAGGCGGATATGCTCTGGTCCTAGTGCCTGTTGCCATTCACGGACGGTCAGGAGTATTTCAGCGTGTTGGTATTGCTCAAAGAGTGAACCGTAGGTGCTTTGAAGGTGTTGAGGAAATGGAAATTACCATTATCTAAGGGGTTGGATAAAGTGTGGGATCGGATAAAGTGTGCAGAATCATCTTAAGGATGCTAAGTGTCCTTGGATCAGAATTTTACTTCTTTCTATTTGCAATCCTCCCCTTCATCTCAAACTGAGATGTGACTTAGCAGAATAGTTAGCGAAGAGAAGCAGGTCGGTCACTTAAAGCGTAGTTTTAAGCGATTTCTCTGTAATCCTCATACATCTTCCCAGGCTATCTTACCCTGACGCTTTCAATATTATTTAATACCTTTATGGGTAGGCCATGCAACTTTGGTTTAGATGAAAGTTTCCTGAACTAAGCGGATCCGCTGCTTTCCCCTGCTGCTTAGTGCGGCCAACCATAATAACTCAGCAACTGGTTTGCAAGATTCACCAGTCAAGAATTCCCATGTCTCAAGAAGGCCGACACATACCATGTATTTAGAAGGCACCTCCCTAGGAGATAGGATCAGTTATATGGTATCAACTAGATAATTAATTATATTTTCGGCAAAACTCCAGCCAATAACTTTGCATCATATTCATGCGTTGGAGTCACTAACGGGACAAAAAAAGAGTGGACCATTTTCGTTGTGAAGAAAAGCAGAGAGCACGGAAGTTTCACGTCAAGATATTCAACGCATCTATAAAATTTACCCTTGAGTGTGCTCTCAATTCCAAAAAAAACGGATGAAGAAGCATTAAAACTCAATTAAAGCTTCCTGAACGGGGCCCAGGACAGAGGAAGTGGTCGGAATGCACCCAGCGGTAATGATGTTAGCATATTCAGTGACCTCAGTAACCAAAAGCGCATGATCTTCTAATATGAGGATGATGAAACCTGACCAACCGACTAATTCGTTAATCGATGTTCATGACTTTGTTGGGAGACGTCAAGAATAACTTGTATTCAACAGCAGTGACTCACTCCAGAAATCAGCCAAGCATAGCCAGTTCGTAGTTTTCTGAATCACATCAACGACTCCCGATGATGCTATCAATCTATCTTTATCGGCGAAAGTGAGCTTGAAGCGGAATAATGCTTAGCAGTTGACGCCATAACTGAGTCATGAAATGAAATAATTGCTTTCTGTCAAGAAATTGAGCCTTTTTGACTAAAGGATGACATCCGCAAAGTCCCATCTTGTAGCGAGCGGATCACTGAAGATGGGGTGATCGGAGCTCAGGTCAACGCTGCCTTGATCAAAAGATTCACAGAAGCAGTGTCGGCTTGTTGCGCATTCCCATAACGGCTCCTGCTTGAAGAAAGAGCCATCGAGCGGTGGATGGTTGGATGTTGCTGGGAATATGATGTGTACATCTCGGCATACATTTGCCATGCAAATGGACTCTTTCTCCCAGTCTTTTTATCGTCTTGGATGAAGCATAGGGCATCAATCCATAGAGAGTGTACTCAAGCCCGCGAGCAAGTGTGATAGCATCTTGGAAAGTTTTGGGGAGTTCAACAACTTGATTCTTTTGTTTGTGGTCGCTCCGGGTTTCTCGCGTAGTTTTCATGTACGTCGTGCCAACCCAAGAGTAGGAGAGGGTAGTATAACGACCTCTCTCTCCACTCGGTGGTTCTAGAAGCCGAATATAATCTGAACCCCTCTTGGGATTTAGATCAGGATCCGTGTCGGCAAAAGCGAAGCCAATCTTAAAGCTATGGACGTGCGCGATTATGCCTAGGGCTGCAGTTGCTATCCCTTCCTGCACCCAATCGATCGCACTTTGAGCAACCAGTAGAAGTTATGCTGAGGAAAAAATGCCCGTTCTCAAGATTCTATCGATTAGGAATATCATCAAACACTTGAGTGCTGTTACTTGTCTTAAAAAACCATCTCATCCATAGGCATTAGGTGACGTTGACATCGGACATGACGGCTTACCAACCTTTTATTCCAGATACGACCAACGTCACATTCATACCGAAATAGTACTGCATTCTTAGAAGTTGAGAACTTCCTTGTGGTCCGGAGAGACGAGTTGATTTGCCCTTCTACAAGATACGTTCAGGACTAGAATGGGATCGGGCTAAAACTTCCCAAGACTTCAGCTCAACTATCTTTCAAGCAGTTGCGCAGCCACAACAATACAGCATTGCCTGGTTGGGCTTGAGCCAAAAAATATCTTAAGAATAAGTGATAGGGCAGTGAACTTTGTCAATATATTCCATTTTGCACAGACCACAGATTTATCAGGATGCATTCGAGGCCATTCAAGCAGATCTTGCAGGCTGCAGGTTATGTCGGTGTTAGATGGTTCCTTGATGTCCTCTGAACACTCTTTATAAGCACCAGGGAACGTCTTCTTAGGAGAATGAGGTAAGTCAATCTGACTGTTTTCTTGATTCATTGTTATTGTATCTTGAGTCGGTCACTGCTAATGAACTAGCATGTAAAGGTTTGAGGGGGCACCAGGGAAAGGAGGAAGAAAGAATGAAGAGAGGACCAGAAATAGAGATGCTAAAGGATGCTTGGTTGAATCTATCGGCTGAGTCTTAGGCTCAATGTGGCGGTGTAGACACCAGTGCCGCCTGCTGGCTGCGTCAAGGTACCAGGATCCTTTGGTGTGGCTTATAACCAAAAAAAAAAAAAACCTCACTCCCCACCCATTCTCCTGCCATAGTGCTCCGTGATGGACTAAACAATACCCAATACACTAACCACCAACTATTAAGACAAAACCCCATTCAATAAAGTCCCAGCTAATGCCGTGTAGTAGCAATTCATCACCTCGAACTCTTATCTCATGCAGGTAATCAATGAGAGCATTGTAGACCGCTGGTAAAAACTCCAGCACACTAAGCCAACCCATGTCCCAGAGTCATGGGAACTGAAAAGCCGGAAGAGAGTCTTATTCTCTTCTCATCTCACTCCTCATCCCCTCGCCTACTTGACTAATGACTGATGACACAAACATAAATAATACTAATCCATGTAATAGTAGTAAGCTGAATGAGCAATCAAGCAGCATGCCAGTACCAGTATCAGCAGCACAGCAACCCCTAGGAAAGTCCATGTCGCTAGTAGGTAAACGAACTTTCTGTCCAGACACACCCATCCATCCCTTCTTGCTCCCACCTGGATCGACACATACACACAAACTCTTTTCCCCAGCCAGCTGTCCATCCCACCGATCTAAGCAGGAATCTCGCGACGAATACGCCCCCAAAAAAGACATGTTTCTTGTTTGCCATTCCCATGCCTTTACTTTCTTCCGTACCCCCCTTGTTTCTAGAAGTAATAGAGAAATCTTAACTTGAGAGAAATAATAATGATAATGATACTTAAGCGGTGCCGAAACGAAACACAAGCTCAGCGCAGAGCGCATAAACCACCCCCTTCCCCTTACGACCATTAACCCGTTCCGTTCCATTGCGGCTACCATAGAGAGGAAGAATCCCATTTCCCAGCAGAGTAGAAGCAATGACCTAACCTACACAGTAAAAACACGCACGCACAAAGCCCGCCATCCTTCATCAGCACCAAACCTAAAACCTGTTTACGTAACCGATTCCCAACGCCAATACCTTCTTTGTTGTCTTCGAAGCTGGATTAAGACAGGTGGAATGCGCCCTGTCCCTCCTTAATGGCAGTAAACAGTCGCTGACGCAGGATATCGATGCTCGAGTAATCCGGCAGCTTAAGGTAATTGACACACGTCATGACGCTGGGCAGGTAATCGTCCGACGTGTACGGCGGCTCGCTGGCCTTGCAGACTACCGTGAACATGGGGGTGAGCTTCTTGAAGCCTGTTGTTGATGATATGTTAGCTAGTGCAGCAATGACTTTGGGTGTCAACAGGACTGACCTCCAATAGGCAGCTTCGGGCTGCCGGTCGTAAACTGCAAGAAGTCCCGGCGCTGCTGGGGCGTCATCTCGCTCATGACCTGCAGCAGGTTCTTGACCGTCTTGCTGTCCATGTTATAGCCGTGATCCGCCTTGACCGAGTCCATGAGCGCTGCGAACGTTAGCCCACTGTCCAAGCTTTCCTACCGCAATCCATGGGTGACTTACTCTCCAACGACCAATCCTCCTCGACTCGGCCGAACAACGAACAGAGCTCATCGGGTGTGAAGGCGCTGAGCGCCGAGTAAGGGAAAACCTGCGAAAAGCCCTGGCGGAAGGCGTCAACCTGCCGGCGAACACCGCTGCCCAGTGTCATATCGATAACACGCTCGAGGTATTCCTCGACATTGTCGATGGTCAAACGGGTTTGCGAGCCGTTCGGGATGAGCTCAATCTCGGGATAACCAGGCAGTGTGAAGTCGAGGTAAAGGTCGTCAATCTTGATCTTGTCGATGACAATATTCTCCATGTCGACGACCTTTTGGGCTGGCGAGCGGGTTGGGTCCTCATCGATCTCTTTCTTGGCTAACGCAAACTTCTTGATCAGCATGAGAGACCGCGCCACGACTGGGTCAACCTGCTTGATGGCTCCAAGCGAAGGTCGAACGGCAGTCGACTCATCTCCAATTCGGAAGAAGATTGGGTTGAAGTTAATGTCAATGATGCGCGAGTCGATCATGGATCGAGCAACAAACTTTCCCAGCGTCTTGAAAAGCTGCAGGACCTTCTGGCCTTCCTCCGACGCGGCAAAGTCGTCGCTGATGGGTCGCGGAAACAGGCCGTTCGAGCCGGACACGTATTCGTCGTCACCGTTGGGGTCGTTGTCCCGCCACATCTTGAGCTTCTTCTTGCAGAACTCCTTCGACACCGTCGAGTAAAACTCGAGCGTCGGACCTAGGCCTGTGCCCACCTCGTCGAAATACTCAACCTCCAAGATGCTCTGAGAAGCTCCATACAGCTCCATGACCTTGACGGCCGATTCCATGATCTTGTTCCGCGAGATGCGCACCTTCTGGCGCTGCAGGCGACCGAGGAAGGGCCTCTCATCAGCACGACGGTCCCTGCGTGAATCTTCCTGAGACTGTGCATTCTGCCAGCGACTCATAGATCGGGCATATCCGAACGAAGTGGACTGCAGGAAGAGATGTCTCGTCTCAAACGGGAACAGAAACGGATACAACCGGGCCAGGTCCTCGCTCCAGCTGGGGAGACACTGGCTCGCCACAATCAGGGGCTCTTCTAGCTGTCGGTTGAGCTTAGCCGTCAGCTTCGTATTGACAAACTGCGACAGCGGCTCCACGTTGAGACGGAGCGTCTCCTTATTTTCCACCAGTACGTCGTCGAGGTTGGCGTTGAGGTCGTGCAATTTCTTGAGCAGGCGCAGGATTGAGGCCGTGACGGGGAAATTGGCGAGCGAGAGAGGAACACCATTCTCGTCAACCTCGCAGGTTGCATCATTCTGACTGCCAAAGCCCGATGACTCGGTAGTCGGGGGTGGACCAGGCACGCGTCGGAACTTGACAGGATGGATGGCAGCCCAGACTCCACGACCGGTGTAATCATCCTGAATAGCTGCGTAATTGTGAACTGCGCGATAGATGGTCATGTCGAGAGGAATAACCTTGCCATTGATGCTGAACTCAAGGTGCCAGTCGTTGGGGGTCGACTGAACCGCACCGGCATACGACATGGGCCGTGAGGACGAAGATGGGGTAGGGGTTGACTGCAAGGCAGCTGCAAGGCCGCTCAGACGGCTGGGGGCCGTAGCACCAGACCGGCTGTGAGATGGCGTAGAGACCTTGGTGCCATCGTCCCTGCGAGCAGTGACCTTGCCGCCAGTACCCATCTCCATGTTGGCAGCGGGAGGATCGGGTGTCTGAGCCTCCGACATACCCTCGTCTACAACATCAAGGGCTTCATCGTCGCCCATGTCCTCGTCGTCCGACAGCTGCTTCTCGTCAGCGCACTCGAGGGCATTGTCCAGATCATCTTCGTCATCAGGGGGCGGCGGGCGAGCAGCCGGGTCCTCAGACGAGGTCGTGCCTTGACGACGTGAAGACCTGCGAAGAACCGCCTTTTCGCGGGATGTCGATGGTTCCGGTGTCGAAGGGGCCTCGCCGGGCTGCTGCATCCTCGACGAGCGGGTGGTCTTCCTCGTGGACCGCAGAGGGGATGAAGCAGAAGGCTGGGAACCGCTCGTTGTCGGAGGAGGGGGAGCAGCCGAGCTTGAGCTCGAGCTAGAGCTTGATGAGCCGCCCATGGCCTGTCGCAAGCGTGCCGCAGCCGAGCTATTGAGCGGCATCCCGGCTGTGTTAGCCAGAGCGTCGAAAGCCCTGGAGAGAGCCTCCCTCCTCGAGTTGCGTGGCGTTGCGCTGATACGAGGACGAAGGTAATCATCCAATGACTTGAACGTCGTAATGGCATGAATTGATACCATAATGTTCCGATAGTTGCGAGGAATGTCCGAATCGTCATCCGCTGCCAGCCTGAGACGGATCTGCTTGGCGAGCATAGACGCCGCACTGCGATCCGATCCACTGTGGTGCACGGTGATAACCTCAAAATGCTCGGACCGGCTCAACAGATCCTGCAACTTGTGAATCAAGACGCTCAGCGGCGTGGCGGGTGAGTCTGCCGTAGCCGTCTTAGGCTTCGACTTGACCGTGTATCCCATGAAAACCTGGAGAAAGGCCGACTGGGCGGCGATGGCCAACTCTTCGTCCGGATTACTCAGAACCTTCTCAAGGACGCGCACAATACCGGAGGCGAGAAGCTCAGCGCTGGTGACGCTCTCCAAGATATCCGAGTCAAAGTAAGAAGCGAGCTTGGTGAAGAGCTTGATGCCACGGTCCAGAGGTTGGCTAGAAGACAACAAGGTACGACAGAGGTAAAAGTTTTCGATATCCGACGCGAGGGCTGAGAGACCGGCCAAGATCTGCTCGGCCTTTTCACGCATGCCCTTGGCCGCTTCCTCGTTCTCGTGAAGCTCCAGGAACCGCTTCGCGACCTGAGCAATTCTGGCTTTATCAAGGCCGAATCGGATGCCGGATGACGCACCCATAGACATTGTGGAACCCTGAGAGCTAGTCGGGGATCCAGTGTAATCGTCTCGGTGGCGCTCATCTTCCTCCTGGTCGTCACGATCCCTCTCCTCGTCTTCATCCTCGTCATCCTCTTCGTCCGAAGAGCGACGCGAACGATCCTCGTCTTCCTCATCACCCTCTTCATTCTCCTCATCCTCATTCTCCGAGTCGCGGTCCGACTGGTTATCAGCGGCGCGATCGAGGGATGATTCGGGAGAGAGGCTCTGATCCCTCGCTTCTGCAGCCAGTTTGGTGATCTCAGCAATAACACCTTCGCGGTAAAGTTGATATCGGTACACCAAGTCCAGACGGCTTACGAGAAGCTCCGTAGCCTGAAGCGCATACATAACCAAGGAGGGATGATCCTGCTGCGAGAGGATCGATGCCAAGAACGAGGCATACGAGACAGGCTTCAGGGCGTCCAGAAGGATCGGTTTGTCGAGGTTCGAAAGCATCTTGAGTTGGGCCGTCAAGACCTTCTGGCGGACAGTCAAGTTGACTGTGCTCGAATAGGCGTCGGTAAGAGTAGGGAACAGGATCATGGCGAAGCGGCGAACCTCGTCCTTGCAAGTCCTGAGGAGTTCGGTGCGCTTCTCGTTGGCCGTCTTTCTCCGCGAGCCAGAGGTCGACGGCGTAAGGACCGACTCTGAAATCTCCACGAAGTCGCCAGCAGCCGGATCGGCCGAGCCAGGAAGATTTGGCAGTAGCTCGCAAATGACATTCAGGGTTTCGATAATCTGTTCGCGAGGACGATGAATGAGAGCCTGCATGATCAGGACGCTGTCGAGTTTCGACGCGATATCATCATCTCCGCTCGGCGGTGAAACACCTGTAAGAATCTGGTAGAGTGTTTCGACCACGTTTAGCTTGAAAAGCTCTGCTGATAGACGAGGGCTCGCGCGGGCCACGAATGCTAAGACACGTAGGAACTGCGTGTGGATGTGGGGGCCGATGAGGTTCGTGCTGCCAGGGAGCAGCAGGCGCAGGATGGCCTTTAGCAGATCGACGCTCACAAGCTCCTCGAGGCGGTGAGGATAATACCGGAAGCTCTCAACGATGCGCGTCACACAGAGAGAAGCCTGCTCGACTACCTTCTGGTCGTTGCTGCCCAAGACGTTGAGCAGAATTGGCATGACGTCCCGAACCACCGGGAAGTTTTCGGGGTCAAGGTTACGACAGCAGTTGGCAGCCGTGGTAACAGCTACACGCTGAGTGCTTGTGGCGAAAAAGTCCAAGTACTGAAGGCACGCGGTCATGCCGCCCTCGCGGACAATGCAGCCCGGATAGTCAACAGAGATCTTCTCGAGGGTGCTGAGGGCCTGCTCGGCTAGATCGATGAAAGAAATCTCAAGCAGTTTTTGGCAGAGAATGGGCACGGCTTGACCGTAAACAATGTTGGATGTGCTGGCCGGGAGTGCCTCCATAAGGTTCGCCAGGCAACGACACGCCCAGAGCATGATCTCGGGATTCTCCTCGCCTGTCAGCTCATTTGGCTGCATTAACGTTACCAACTCTTTCACGAAGGCGTCGATCGAAAAGTTCCCCGACAAGCTGTCTTCATTAGAGACCAGCAGGAGCTCCGAGAGTTCTTGGAGGGCGACCAGCTGGCTATCGGGATCGTGCTTCTGGCGCAAGTTGTGTAATATATCCCTGAATCTAGCGGGCAGGCCGCTAACCATGCCACTAAGCGTTCTAATTGTGCTCGAGAGCCCGTGCAAGGGACCACCATGGCCGCCGAAGCCGCCGCCGAAGCTGTAGCCGTCGTCGTCGTCATAGTGATCATCCTCGTCTTGATCATCGCTATCCTCGTCGGGGTACCGCTCCTGGATAGGAGGGGGCGGTGGGGGCGGAGCCGACGCCTCCTTGTCGTGATCATCCGTGCCGCCCATGACAACATCCTGGTCGTCATTCGATGTGCGATTGGACCGCCGACTCGATCGGGAGGAGGCCGCAACGATCGGTTCTTCTGCAGAGGTCTGGGTCAGCATTGTAGTTGTTGGAGGTTAAGGGCAGACCGAACATACCTGCTGTGGAAGCAGCCGTCTTCTTGTTACGGCTAGAGCGCCGGCTAGACGAGGCAGACGGTTGGTTCTCTGTGGGGTCCGGAGGACCGGCAGGGGGTCTGGATAAGAGCTGGTTTAGCAATGCCATTCCAAACAGCCAAACCACAGATATTGATATGGAGATTGAAGAAAACGTACGCAGGAGCCGACATGGTCGCGGCAGCTTTGCCCTTCCTACGGCGAGATGTAGCAGTTGCAGCCGCAGGAGCGGGAGCAGGAGGTGGCGGTTGTGCAGGCTGGGGAGGCGGCGACGTATGTGCCACTCGTTGGCGCTTAGACCTACGAGCCGACGACGGAGTGTCGACGGATGTCGAGGTCGGGGGCGAGTCGGGAATGTTCTTACGCTTCCGAGCGCTTGGAGGGGGAGCGGGGGCTTGGGCAATGGGCGTTGGGGCGGCCGAAGAAAGCCCGAGGATGGACGACGAAGCTGGAGTTGATGAAGCCGCTTGGCTCGCTGCTTGACGAGCGGACGAGCGGGTGACCCTGCGCGACATGAGTAAATATGTGGTCAGGCGTCATTGGCCATGGAGCGGCCGGCAGGAGGACAAAGATAATAGAACGGGAGATTGTGTGAAGGAAGAGTCGAAAAGAGAGGAGGAAGAAGAGTGGTAAGGTGCAGGTGCCCAAAGCAGGGAGAGTGTGGAACGAAGCAAAATGTGGAAATGGGGAATTTAGAAGCCGGCAGGAAGGAGGGATTGGATGGATAGATGGGGTTTGGCTGTTTCTTGTGGGCTGTAGTCGGCGACAGTGGGTTGTGTGTTTTAAGATATGCGGCGGGCTGGCAGGCCTGCTACTGGTGTGCTGGTGTGGACTGCCAGTTGTCTGATGTTTTGATAGCGTTGGAAATGGTGCTGGCCCTGGTAGTGTTACTGTCGGCGTTGCATGGTTGTGGCCGCAAGCCGGTGTTGTTGTCTGGCTAGGCTGCTGTTATTCAAGGCAGCGCTAGTGTTGTGGATGTGAATATCACTGGGCCAGAGTGTTGCTGCTGCCGCTGCACATCTACTGCACAAGGGCAGTCGTGGGATGGATCTTGGATGTTTCGTGGGAGTGGAGGAAGCGCACACTTCTTTCTTTGGTGATGTGGGGCTCTCCAACGCTTCTGGTTCTGCCGCTGCGCTCTTGGAAATTGCGAAACCGCAAACCTGCGAACAAGGCTCTAGACTGCAAAATGATGAAGCCGCGAAAACTTCTGCGAAACTTCACCCTGAGGAAGGCTGTAAATCGGTCCAAACATTCACTTGCTAGTCTATCACAGTTATGCACGCCTGAACAGGGCGGTCTGGGCATGCCTGATGCTGGAAAAGCACCACTCGGGCTGATTCCAGCAACCAGGGAAGCGGCAGGTTCCTGAAGCCTGGCTCTCTCACGCTTCTTCCCTGTCCCGTCTCCCGGATTTCGAGTTTTTTTTTTTGTTTTTTGTTTGTTTGTATGCTGGCGCTGCTACTTGATGCACGCGCCCAGGGCAGCCCGGCCGATCACAGAGACAAGACCAGTTGCCAGTTCAGGCCAGGCCAAAAGGAAAGAAGCGAGGATGTCGCCAGGAGAAAAGCAGGTCACGCTGCCGCAACTCGAAATGGCCAGGGTGATTGGGCAAGATAAAAAGTAGAGCTGTACCAGGTGAAGGCCTGGCTTTGGGTGAAAGAAAGACCTGGAAGCAAAGACAAGATGGAGAGGGGAACTTGACAGACAGAAAGAACCGTGTAGGGAGCTGTACCTGGACGAGGCAGCAGTGGCTGAGGTAGTAGTCGTGGAAGATCGAGACGCCGAAAATAATGGTGAAGGAGTTGCAGTTGTGACCGAAGACAACGGCGAGGGCAGGCACGCTGGATCGTTATCAAAGGCCGATTTGGATCGCGAGTGCGGATGCGGACATGCAGGACGTCGTTCTGCCATGGATTACGCCATTGGGAGGCAGGCAGAAGAGCTGTGCGGCGGCGGGTCGGACAGCGAGACGCTTTGGGGATGGTTGCTCATGAACGCATAAGCGTGTGCTCAATCCTCGCTGCGCACTGCGTGACCGTGATAGAAGAAGAGGGGATGAAGTGATAGTGCGGAGGGAAAGGGAATTGATGGAATGGGATCGGGTCGGGCACAAGGGCAGACAGATGGCCGACAGCAGACGCGCGGTCGTCGCTTGTCGCGGTTAGGAAAGCGGGATTGGCTAGCTTGATGGGTCAACTGTTCAACGTGGTTGATGTGGAGATAGGGGTCGAGATGTGCTTGACGACGAAGTGATGAAGTCGTTCAGGGCTTGATGAGATGGTAAGGTGCTTCGGGATACAGCAAGCTTGGGCTTGGATATCTGACAGAACGTAGTAGTAGCCTGAGGCTCAGTTCCCCAACGACAGGGCGATGACGGACGGTCAGACAGTTGTGCTGGTGGCTTGTGCCAATGCGCACCGTTTCACTGAACTTCCAAGCTTCCTGTTGGCGCTCTGCCATGAGCGAAGATCCCTGCTCCCCGGCTTCGGCTGACGCTGGGGGCTGGGGCGGTGGGGCTGCGATAACGATAAGGAAGTTCAGCTCCAAGAATGTCAGTAAAAGACTAGGACTCTGATGAAACAGCACGATGCAGGAAGTTCAATTCTCCTTGCCTCTTAATAGTAACTGTTTGCATGAATATGTGCGTGAAGCTTCCTGTGCTCTTGTCTACCCTTCAAGAAAGAGATACAAATACCTATGAATAAGCGTGACCGCTCCCATGGCCATCACTGTGTTCCACTGCAACATTATCCACCCCTACAGCTCGTTTGTATGATGTTCATCCTCATGCAACGATCAAGGAAGTGGAATGTTGTCGTGATGTAAGACTCGTTATTGTAGATTTCCGTCAACCTACCAATAGGTTGCCATCCGTGGAAGCACTAATATCTCTCATCACATTGGCATTTCTCGAAGATGCTGTCTGACAACTTAGTGTCTGGTCGATTTGGTGCCACCCTTTCAGCCCAAACAGGAGGGGATGATCAATGTGAATCTAAGATACCCCCAAATCCCCTAAAACAATATCTGGCATTTTCTCTCCAAGTATATGCTGTGCTTGTACTCACTGCAGCTAGCATTCATACTGAGTGACAAGTTTGTGATTATCATATTGCAAAAAAATCCCCACCCGACAAAACAAGGCAAGATACACAACGAGATCAACCAGATAGATCACTTAGTCTCAATAACCAATACCCAGCTCACAGGCCTCCAGTTTACAAGGCAGCCCAAGTAAGCAGATAGGTTCGCTTTTCGTGATTGATAGAGAATTGACACTTCGAAGCATGCTGATATGCCATGAAATGTTGAAGGAACAGACTCATCTTAGCTGTAATCATTGGCGATGGAAGTCATTGAAAGGGGGTTCCTCTTGTTTCCCGAGTCTCTAATGGACATCTGAGATTCTAGAAGCCCATGCCACCCATGCTCTTCCTGCAAATACCAAAAAGGGAGAAATACCAATTTGCAACAACAATTAGATCCCTATTCGCCCATCTTTGTCAGAACTACCTCGGGTACTTGTACATAGCCTTATTATTTACCATATGAAAACAGCCCTGCCGCTTCAAACAACCTGTCGCTCGATGAACCCCATCCCAGAATCCGGGGTACGGTGGACCGCTGCCACCAAGCCCCTGGCGCCAAGACGCGCTGACAACCAACCCCAGGCGGCGGATAGCAGGAGGCCAACGGCTTCCATCGGCACAAGTGACGTCGTTGGGTCCCTCTGGACACTGCGGTCCAGGGCAGAGCCACCAGCCGCGATGCACTTAACGACCCAGCTGACCAGCATGCGAGAGTCCGCCCCTTGCGCTTGGCTGGGGGGTTCATCGCATTTATCTCCTCCGGATCGCTGTCAGGGCCCGAATCGTCTAATTTGATCCCTTCCTTCAATTTCATCTCAGTCACCAGCAACAATGAAGAGCATCCGCGCGCCGCTACTCCTCCGCCGCCAGGGCGCGGCCAGCGCTCTTCAACACGCCCTCCGGCGACAGAGCCATCCCACATCCATCCTGACCGCCTCATCAACAAGGCAACTACGCCGATCCAGCTCCCTTTCCCAACGGCTCGATGCCAAGCATGTCATGTTCCCCGGAGCCGTTAAATCAGAGTTTAGCAGCACGATGCGGTTCGAGCACCCGTCGACCTACCCAGCGCTGCCGACCTACCGAGTCGTTGATCAACACGGCGTAGTAGTCGACCAATCTTTCACCCCAGACCTGAGCGATGAAGAAGTGATCAAGCTGTACCGAGACATGCTCACAATCTCGATCATGGACGTGATTATGTTTGACGCGCAACGGCAGGGCCGACTGAGTTTCTATATGGTATCAGCGGGCGAGGAGGCCGTGTCCGTTGGGACAGCGTCGGCATTGGCGAAAGAAGATGTTGTTTTCTGTCAGTATCGCGAGCAAGGCGTTTTCCAACAGAGGGGGTTCACCCTGGCCGAGTTCATGAACCAGCTGTTTGCGAATCATAAGGATTATGGAAAGGGGAGGAACATGCCTGTGCATTATGGGAGTAAGCAGCTCAATATTGTAAGTGCGGAATTCCTTCTGGCATCGAATAGCTTAGCTGATCTTTCAGCACACGATCTCTTCGCCGCTCGCAACACAGCTCCCGCAGGCCGCTGGAGCAGCGTACGCCCTCAAGATCCAGCGCATGCAGGACCCCAGCATACCGCCCCGCGTCGTGGCCGCCTACTTCGGCGAAGGTGCCGCCAGCGAAGGCGACTTCCATGCAGCCCTCAACATCGCTGCGACGCGCTCCTGCCCCGTGATCTTCATCTGCCGCAACAACGGCTATGCGATCTCGACTCCAACCCTCGAGCAGTACCGGGGCGACGGTATCGCAAGCCGCGGGTTGGGCTACGGCATCGACACGATCCGTGTGGACGGCAACGATTTCTGGGCAGTGCGCGAGGTGACAAAGAAGGCGCGCGACCTGGCGTTGCAAGACGGCGGTAAGCCTGTCTTGATCGAGGCTATGACGTACCGGGTCAGCCACCACAGTACGTCGGACGATTCGTTTGCGTACCGCGCGCGGGTTGAAGTCGAAGACTGGAAGCGTCGCGATAATCCGATTGCGCGGCTGCGCAAGTGGATGGAAGCGAAGGGGATTTGGGACGAAAACAAGGAAAAAGAGGCGCGTGAGAGCATTCGCAGGGATGTGCTGAAGGCATTTGCCGAGGCCGAGAGGGAGAAGAAGCCGCCATTGCGGGCAATGTTTGAGGATGTGTACGAGGAACTGACGCCAGATTTGAAGAAGCAAATGGGTGAATTGAAGAGTGTGTTGGAGAGATACCCCCAGGAATATGATGTTGGCGAGTATGAGGGAGGAACAGAAAGTCTAGATGTCAACAAGTAGAGATACCTGCTTTCATCTGTAATTCAAATCTAGTTTTTGTACCTCACTATGATCACGCGCAAACACACGCGCAAACATAACCTTGACGAGAGCAAAACACCAGTTCCCGACTTCATCAACCGCTGCAACTAGTTACCAACCAACCATTTCTCGTTGATCCATATAAAGTTACAGAAATCTAACCCACCGAAATCACTTACTCAAATCAGTACCAAACATGTCAAACAACGACCGAGTCGTCATCGCTGTTCTCATCGTCTTGAGCATCACTGTCATCCTCGCCGTCGTCGGTATCAAGTATGTTCGGCAAGTCGCCAGAAGCCGCATCACAGCCAGACAGGTTGACCATGGGGAGGCCAATGAGGCCGGGGAATCGGAGAATCATGGCCAGGCTCAGGCTCAGGCTCAGGCCTAAGTATTTGAGATTTCCATTTCATATCTCGTAAGTCATCGAGCCGCAGTGTCTCACTGATCGACAATCTGCCCCGCCATTCTGACCATAGGGAATTCTCTTGGCGCCCCGCCTGCAAGGCTGGAAACTGGGGCTCGAGAAGGTCAAGCCACAGCCCCTCACAGGAGCAGCCACACCAAGCCAGCCGACCGACCCGATTTTTGGGTCGCAGACCCTGACCTTCCATTTGAAGCCGTCTCACATGTATGATTGCTGACCGCGCGCATCCCACCTATTAGACACACCCATCTTCAACTACACTCGATCTTTAGAGCTGTCGCCGGCCAGGTCTTGCCCGCCATGGCCGCCCGTCCAGCTCTCACAAGGGCACTGCCCCACTTGACCAGCACCGTCCTGTCCAGATCCTCCCAATACCAGACAAGCTTACGATCAATATCATCACTGTCGCCGCTCTCCCGGACCTTCTCGACCACCCTCCCCTCGCTCGACGCCAATGCGTCAACATCAACCTCCTCCAAGCCCCCTACCCCCGACTATGCTATCCCCGATCCCTCCCGCCCAACCCACTTCGGCTTCCAGACCGTGACCGAATCCGAGAAGCGCGAAAAGGTCGCCCGTGTCTTCACCTCCGTCGCCGAAGCCTACGACCGCATGAACGACCTCATGTCCTTCGGCTGGCATCGCGTCTGGAAAGACCACTTTGTGCGCACGCTGAACCCAGGCTTCTCCCCTCTCACGGCGGGTCCAGATCCCAGGGGACCGCAGCAAATCCTTGACATTGCCGGCGGCACGGGTGACATTGCCTTCCGCATGCTGCACACGGCGCACGTGGTGAACCGCAACCCCGACGTGCGCGTTATCATGTCCGACATTAACCGGGCGATGCTGACGGTCGGCAAACACCGCTCCGAGTCGCTTCCTGCGTCGCAGCAGGCGGCGCTAAGCTTCCTCGAGGCGAATGCCGAGGACCTGACCAAGGCCCGGCCGTTGGTCCCTTACCCCCCTGCCGACCCCGCCTCGGAAGAGAAGCCGTTCTTCGATCCCACTACGGCGACCACCTCTATTCCTGATAATTCCATCGACCTGTATACCGTAGCTTTCGGCATCCGTAACTTCAGCAACATCCCCGCCGCGTTAAGGGAAGCGTATCGCGTGCTCAAGCCCGGCGGTGTGTTTGCCTGCCTGGAGTTCAGCAAGGCGGACAAGCACCCGCTGTTCAATGCCGTGTATAAGGAGTGGTCGTTCAGGGCAATCCCGTTGATCGGGCAGCTGGTTGCAGCGGATCGGGATAGCTACCAATATCTGGTTGAGAGTATTGAGAGGTTCCCTTCGCAGGAAGAATTTAGGGATATGATTCTGGATGCTGGCTTTGTGATTGCAGGCGAGGGCTATGAGGATCTGACAGGTGGTGTGGCGGCTATTCATAAGGGCATGAAGCCTCGCACTTGAGTGGGGTTGAGTAATGAGCATATACCTGTATAATATTGTACCGCTTTGTCTGTAGTATACCAATGGATGGGATACCAATTGGTGGGTTATGTAAAAGTGTGTTTGAATGTTCTCATATGTACCTCAACAGTTGTTCTCTCCCATGCTGTGTCCCAGTAAACTCCGCACTCACTGTCTGCCCTACCGTGTCACAACTGAAGCCATGGTGGTTTAAGCAGTCAACCCTCATCCCGTGCATCTCTGCGCTGATCTATATTTGCCTAGAAGCATCTTGCCCTCTAGGAAGACAATAATAGGAAAAACCAAGGTTAAAGTTGACCATCGTCGAACCTTGCAAGCCATGTTTATCCATGAGATCTGGATATCAACGAAGCCTTCCATTCACCGATCCGTCCTACCTACCGCCCATCTACCTGCTTACCAATCATCCAGCCATATGTACCAGCAAAGTCACCAGAAAAAAATTTCATCATTTTTTTTTATCATTGTTATTCCCCCACGACCAGCCTAATCCCTTTCTGTCCAGTCTTGACGGACCCTCCTGCCCTTATTTCTTCTACCATCCCCCTGTCTCGCACAACACATACACACACACAGGTTGACACGACCAGACATGGCCCGTTCTCATCAGATACTCGTTCTCCCTTCCTCGCCAATTAACTACACGCTCGAAGGAATGGGGGCTAGAATTACCTAAGTAGAGGTCCATGTACCATCCCATATCATGGATATGATCATGAAGATGGACATTAGCACCAACGCAAGATAACATCGACTCAACAGTCCACCTACCCTTCCCTTCTCTCTTTTCCCCACTCATTCCTGTCTGTCGGTCCACCCTTTTTTGTCCTTACTTCCCTCCGTTCATTCCTCCGAGCCCTACATACAGCCAAAGATTAAAGAAGGCGAGACCGAAAACGGGGGACAACTAGACGACATAATGGGCTGGGAAGAAGTAGAGAAGGAGAAAAGCCGTCTAATAGAGTAGTAGAGGTAATAAAAAAAGGCAAAGTAATTACCATCACATAGCATCCATCGATTGTCATCCATCATCAAGCCGTGACGACGAAAACCCACACACCAAAAACCGTCCATAACAGGGATGTCGGTGTCGTGTTCTAGTGTGCCGTGAGAGAGAGAGGACATGGCAGCAAGTAGACGAGAAAACAGGCCAAGTCAGGCGAGGACAAATCGCAAGATCCTCAGAGCCCCACAAAATCAACTCAGCACCTGACACTCAAGCCTCCCCTTGACCAGAAGACCCGCCCTCCTTGCCGCCGCCACGGGGACCGCGTCCGCGACCTCTCTCACCGCCCGAACGGCCGCCACGCCCACCGCCCCGACCACCGCGACGTCCGGCGCCCTCGCTATCACTGGCTCCACCACCGCCGGCACTGCGGTAGCCGCTCTGGGCATTCCCATCACCACCCTTAGCACCACCGGCGCTCCTAGAGCTGCCCCAGTTGCCGGCACTGGTACGAGAGAACTGCCTCGGCGCAGGGGGCTGGAAGATCTTCACGAGAGGCTTGGAGCGGTCCTCTTGGCCAGGAGCACGGGTCTTGAACTCGTCAGCGATGCGCTCCATGGCCGCGTCGCGGTCCTCAACCGTCTTGAAAAGTGCAACCTTGTTGGCGCCCCAACGGTCGATCTTGAGGATTTTAGGCTTGTCCTCCTCGGAAAAAAGGTCGCGAACCTGATCGTCAGACTGAGCATTCATCACGAACAGGCCGATCATGTTCTCGGCAGGGGTACGCGGTACCGGGGATGGGGCAGAGGACGACTCGGCCGGGGCGGTAGAGCCCGTTGACGCGCCATTAGCGGGTGCGGATGCAGGCTTCTCCTCCTTCGGAGCCGGTGAGGCAGATGATGGTACCGGCTGCGGCGTGGCAGGCTTGGGAACTGGCGCGGGTGTTGGGACGGCAGGCTTAGGAGCCTGCTGGGGAACCGCGGGCGGGGGGGTGGGCTTAGACGCCGGAGGCTGGGCAGCAGCAGGAGTAGTAGTCGATGTTGTGGACGATGGTCCAGCAGGGGCTTGAGTCGACGGCTGGCTAGCAGCCGTGCTGCTCGGGATGGAGGAATGAGTCGAAGCGGGAGGATGCAGCGGCTGCTTGGCGGTTCGATGAGAGAAGTTGAAGCCCTGCGCACGCATCTCTGTACCAATCCGGCCATCCTGGATTTCCAACACGAGCCAGCCAAAGGCGGCATCGGCAAGGTTGAAATTCCACATGTTCTTGAAAGCGCTCTCGTCGACCTGGCCAAGAGCAGCGGCCGAAGCGCCAGCAGGGGCGCCACCGAAGGGGTTACCACCAGCAGCAGTTGACGGCATCTTCTCAACAACGCTCAAGGCGTTACGAAGAAGTGTCTGCTGAGCCTCATTCTTCTCAATGGCCGGCTCAACCTCACCTTTGACGGTCTCCCAAACATCGTTGAACGAAGCCTTGGAAGCAGCCAGCTTGCCACGATAATGATCGAGGGTCGGGTTGACGCTGAATTCGTTGTAAGAGCTACCGTAGCGGAAATGCAAGCCAGCCGAGATGGAGAAATCCGCCTTGAGGGTGACTGAGAGCTGGTTGAGCAAACCCTCGCGGGCAGGTGAGGCATGGGTAATGAAGATACGGGTCTCGGTCGGGTCGTAGACGCGGTTGGCCGTGTCGACAAGCTCGCCCATTTGGAGGAGAGTGGTCCACATGGTGCCCTGGCCGCCGGCGATGGTGGTGCGGCCCTCGCCATTGTCAAAGAGCTTGTGCATGACGACAGCGCCGCCCAAGCCCAGCAAACGCAACTTGACGCCACCCACCTCGAGCAGCATCGACTGTGCCTCGTCGATGATGTAGAGATTTGGCACCTTGTATTCCTTGGAGCGGAACTTCTCCAGCACGCGCACGTCCTCGCAGGCGCCCCAGACAGTATAGACAGGCACATCGAGCTTCAGCTCGCCGCTGAGCAGCAGGGGGAGCTCGGAGAGGGGAAGTTCGCTGGGCGGGAACTTGCCCTTGATCGGGCCGGGGCCAGCAGCAGCGATCGCCTTCTTGGTCTGCTCCGAGATGAGCGGCGAGTATTGAGCAACATGCTTGAGGGTCCTGCGTCCGTCAGCAACTGCTCAAGATTATCGAGCGAAAGAGGGCCCACTTACTTCTCAGCGATGCGCTCCAAAGATGTGTCGTCGTAGAAGCCGAAGTCGCCCGTGTGGATGATGTAGTCGGCGCGAGCCTGCTTGGCGAGCTCGTTCAGCGACCGGAGGTTGCCTGGGCATGTCAACACGCATACTTCCCTCTTCCATCAGCATCCGATGTGCGCACCTCGAACATCTGCAATGCACAGGACCCTGGTGGGGCCCTCCTTGAGGATACGCCCTTGGTTGGGCAGAAGCGGGATTGCGCCGGGCACAGGATTAGGACGAGGGACATTGGCGCCATTGGGCAGGTAGCCCGGATTGTAGGGGCCCTGAGGTTGCTGTCGCAGATTAGCACAGGATTTGGGGGCAGACGGGGAGGAGGCAGCAAGGAGGGGAGGTCCCGCAGCGTTAAAAGTTGTCTGAGGAGGAGCAGCAACACGCCGGGGCGGTACCGAACCCAATAAAGGCAGGCAAAGTCGAGGAGGGAGCTCACCGAAGCCATCCTGTGAATCGACTCGATGGACGGTTGAAGGTATGTGGGGGGGAAAAGAAGTCGATGGGCGGGGGAGTGTCAAGATCAGAGGAGCCAAGCAGCTGGGTGAGGGTGATGCTCCTCAGTAGCAGCTGTGGTAGTAGGTATTGGAATCTCTGCGGTCGCAACCAGTGTGCTGTCGATGCCGTCCTGGCAGCAAAGGAGAAAGAAAGTAAAAAACAGTTCCAAGCTTGGTGGCCAAGCAAGTTAGCTGCCACAACCAGATGGAGGGGTATCAACTAAAAAGAAAGACGGAATGGAAACACGGCGCCGGATCGAGGCAGCAGCTGGGGATTGTAGGAAAAAGTAGAAGGCAGAGTCACGCAGGAAACCGAAGGCTGGTCTTGGCTCTCGATTACGATCGAATCTCGAATCTCGAATCTCGAGGAGGGGGGGCGGTTGCTGCGGACGAGGCTGGCGATGAAGTCGGTTGACTGGGCAGGGTGCCTGTGAGCTTGGTTGATTTTTCGAAAACGCCCGAGCAGTTCTACGGATGGTGGGAGGGACCTCTGAGGTGCCAGGTGAGGCTTTGCCTTCCGGGTTGGAGCTCTGGGATTGGCTTTTTGTTTGGTGCTTCGTGCAATGCAGTTCCAGCGCTGGGCTCTGGCCCCGGTCCTCCTGGTCCACGTCTTTTTGCCTGCGGCTTGTTCGCCGCTTTCTCTTCCCGTGGTTGGACAGCGACCTGCCCGACGAGCATCTGGCCGCCGCCTGCCAGAACTCGCTGACAGGCCCACCTTGCGCGGCGAGGGTCTTGGCGCTAGCCTATCCTGGTTAGTCTGCCAAGGACCCCAGAAGACATAAGAAAGGCCCAGAGGTGCCCCAAAGAAACCGAAAATGAGGCTGACCACATGTTTAGGAGCAATGAATGCCTCAGCAGATGGCCATGCTTGACATTGGGCCTTTGACGCGCTCTTTCTTCCATCTCTAAGGCCCTGGGTACAATTTTTGCTTCAACTTTTCACACAGACTATGTCTCTACGACCTTTGATTCCCTGCTGTGTACAAGCGCCCTCCTATTACTCCTCCATGATCCACGGAACCCTGGTTGACAACAAAACTTCATGAGACTCAGCCCACTTTGCTGGAGACCCCTCGACCGTTCAGTCCTGAACCAACTCTGGTACGTCGATGATAGCGGATGGCATCCAAAGGCCCATCCCGGAAGAAGATCATAAACATCTTAGGCATAACATTCTTCCAAGACTTTCCAAGATTTGTCTGACAGGGTCAACCTTGGGACTGAATAAACTCGAAGAAGGCAGGGATTACATCGTATCAACGATGAGCATCCACCAAAAAGGCAAAAGTCATACGGCGCTTTGTTAATGTCTATGAAGTCAAGTCAGTATCATCTTAACTCTCTTAAGCAGAGGGCTTCCAAAGCAGAGCTGCTCAACCACTGTCGATCCGCGACTCTGCTCCTTGAAAACTTGCCCCTCACCGCCTCTCATTCGTCCAACTCATTTCACATGCTCACCTATTGCGCTTGAGTAAATTATTCCGAGCGTAGTTAACACTCCCAGGAAGTTGCGTACCCATTTTGATGGTCCTCATGAGCGTTTATACTTGTGGTTTCCCAGTGACTGCTCACTTTGACCAGTTCGCCTGGTCTGGGATATGGCCAGGGTTTAGAAAGGCCACCACTTGTTGAGAGCCTCTCTACCATTCATTTGCTGCGGTTGCAAGAACACACTCGACGTTCGTTTCACAGTTTCAGCAAGCGCCATGGAACATAAACGGGAAATGCGGTGTCTCTCGATCGCAAGGCTGAGCGGTGAGCGCCAACCAGCTGACAGAGTGCCGACATCCAATCTGTCAAGCTCCTAGTTGCTGTCTGCAAAGAGTAAGCATGCGGCTGGTTTTTGAAAACCTGGACAGCCAATTTTTTTCTGCAAAGGACCCAAGTGCTAGAAAACGTTCTGGCTTGCAGCACAGTCAGAAAAATCACCGAGGAGAGTCCTTGCCCGAGCATATGTATAATTATACAAGTTCCGCGGCTTCATTATTGCCTAAGTGGCTAGAGCTGGTCTCTATTATCATGTCTTAAGTGCTCATCATCATCAATCCTCTTCACCCCTCTCTCGCCTAGTTATGGTGGACATCCAAACTGGAATTTGGCGGGATTATTCTCAATATTCTGCGTTTCCTAATGGCTTGGTTCTCACACTTTTAACTAGAGGCGCTAACGCCTTGCTCACCATCCGGACATTCTTCGCTGTCCTTGGTTTTGGGAGCCTCTGGAAAATTATTTGCCTTCTTCTTACACGGGCTTCAGAGACGCAGGGACCGACGAGAATATGGAAACAATCCAGTTATTCGTCTCCTGGCCAGGCAGGCCCGGGTTCTCCTGCGCAATTCAGCTGGCCCTGCCTCTACAGCATGGGAGGGAATCCATCATTATCGTTCATGGAATCCCGATGTCAATAAAAACCCGAGATCACTCCATAGACAGCGCATTGTTACTGCACTCATCGTCTCTGTACTAATCATTCTAGCTGCTTTGGCGGCAGCTGTCCCCCTTGTCTCGTCCGTCGCTCAGCTACCACCTATCCAACCCAGAGTCCCCATCCTGCAGCCAGCTAAGCCACATGCTCGACAACCGCAATCCATGCCAAGGCAACCAGGGCTGCAGCGTGGGCTCGCTCCTGTGGATGGGCGACCCCGCGCTGTCAGACAACCGGCTCAGCAAGGACAACCTGTGCGCAGACCGTTTGCAAGGCAACGGACTGGACAGCCGTGCGGTTGGCCTGAATCACCAAAAGGGAGGTCTTGAGAAGCTCCGCCAACTGTGCCTTCACGTGGCCCCTGAATAGGATGGTAGGCTCGACTAAACCCAGATGCTTCTCAGTGGCACATCCATCGTCTTGGATGGAGACATGGATAATAGGAGACCATGTTACCAGTGTAATGTATTCTTATCGGGCAGCGCACATGAGAGGAGTAGTCTCTTTTATGTCTCCACAGTTGACATCGAGGCCTGGGTGGGAAAGCAATAGTTGGATCGTTTGGATCTTGAGGGAATCCCGGTCTCCTTCCTTTGATTGGGTCGTTAAGGCAATTATGGAAGGTGTGCGAACCCTGCCAGTCGCGACAATTAGCAGCAACTGCTGGGTGACTGAGAAGCAGCTGGAGGATAGCTTAGTGCTGCTGCTTGACAGCATGGTGGAGTGGCGTCTCACCATTGTGCTGTTTCCCGTTGACGATGGATGAACTTGATAAAAGGGCCATTCTAAATCATGTGAGGGCTAGTTAAGATCATGCCGAAGGAAAGTGAGTTCTGGTAGCGAATGACTTCATGCAGTAGTTCACTCGTTGTCTTTTCCTATATGCACAGATTCTTGTCCATCGGCCTGGTCGTCCTTGTCGTTTGCTTACTGTTGCTTTTGGAGTCGAGGTTATGTGCTTTTGCCATAACTGCATCGAGAAGCAGTTGAAAAATGATACGGATTGATAATGTGATCTCCCGAGCAGTCATGTGTAGAGGAGTTAGCCCATTGTTGTTTGTACAGTGTGGGTCGATTCCTGGAGCCCTAAGAAGCAGATTCAGAAAGGACTCTATACAGCAATGTTCAAGCGTGTACAGCTTGAGCAAGCGCCTGACTGCAAAGTGCAATTCTGTTTCGCCATTACAGTTTTTACAGTTGATATCGATCCTTTGATGGCCGAGTAGCCTTTCAAGGTTTGGGTCTGTATGTCCACGCTCGTAGGACCTCTGCATTAGGCAGCCAATCATTGTATTGAAGCCCATCTTTGACGGCCAAGTGTAGCGGAGTTCTGCCGCCGGAGCCTCCGCAGTTGACATCAACGTTCGGTATTTTCAAGAGGGTGCCAAGTATAGCATCGTATTGCCCGTTCACAGCAACGTGGAGTGGTGTTCTACCAAATTTGTCCTGAATGTTTGATCGATGCCCTGTGCGTGGAGAAGAATGTTTACCAAACTGACTTGTTTTTCGAATCTCTGGTCTTGGCGAATTGCGATGATGCGGTGCAGAAGAGTTTCACCATCTTCATCTTGGCAGTTGATATCGATGCCTGGTGCGCTGGTGAGCGCAATCAAGCTTGATGGATCTCTTGCACGATGGAGTGGCGCTTGGCCAAGCTGATCCCTTGCGTTAACTTGGATAAACGGATGATTGAAGAGTAACCTTGTAATTCCCCGGGCTTACAGTCGCCAGTCTGGTGAAGCGGCGCTCTCTCATCCATGTTTTTGCGATTGGGATCAATATCGAGTCCACTGAGAAGCAGACTGAATAATGAGTCTGATTGTCGTGTGTCATGCTTCGTGGCTCCTAGGGTAGACGCTACTGCCTCGAGGGCGTTTCGAAATCGATGCATTTAGCCCGGCATGGTGTGGAAGAAAAAGATGAGCTCTGTTTCTTGCATTAAGCGCAGGCGCCGGAGCCAACGTAGATGCAGGCAGAATTGGGAATGAATACGACGAGCAGCCCAAGTATCTAAATGTCCCCGAAGGTGAATTATTAGGCGTAGGGGCTACCTATGATATCTTCGCGGTGGGATCCCACTCCATCACTATGGCTGTGCAGGATTGACAAGTCTGGTTGCCTTCAAAGTGTGCTGGTCTGCGCAGGCGTGAAAATACCATATCGCTGTGCACTGAAGATAAGCACAATTCATCATGTCGACAACGATCAACTCGACCAAGATGAGACAAGAATGACTGTAATTGTGGCAGTGGCTGACTGGGCACATGTTATAATGTGAAGGCATTGCAATATGATGTGAGAGTCATGGCTTCGTAATTGGCCGTCTTTTCAATTCATGCGTGGGGTTTCGCGGTGAATCCCTCCCCAAGGATGGCAGTGCAGATAAATCAAAAGTGCTCATTTGTATGTAGGCAAATCAACAGTACAATGACCTTGCGAGATTTTGACCAACCTAGTGTTAGCATTTCCTAACATGAAATATTTGAAAACATGAGATGAGAGCTTGAGCTAGAGTTCACTTGTTTGATAAAAGACTAAAGCTAGGTGCGAAACGGTGAATTGGCTAGCAGATCAATTAAGAAAAGAACATGTAAGAACGAAAGCAGAGATCGCAAGTTTGAGGGAACAATATATATATCTACATGTAGCCAAGGTTACAGTTAATGCAGTCTCCCGATACCACTGTCGACTGGTTCAGAATATAGCCCGGTGGCTCCTTATAGAATAAAGGATGTCAAGGGCCTCAGGCGCTTTGAAAATTCGAGCCTTCAAATGTCTACCGAGTCGACAGTATTTGGCAACTGTCTCTACATCGACCATATGGTTGTGGATAGCGAAACGCCCGAGTACACAGGCGCAAGTCTGGCCCTTGAGGCCATTTTCCTTGTTTATAGTATGATTGGTGAACGCTTTGCCCCTCGAGAGAAGAAGAGGCTGAGAGCTTATATCCAACTGCCCGGGGCTGACGACAATGCGGGTGCCGTTGGCATCGGGGTTTTACCAACGCCGAGTGCCGATGTGGTGATTTGCCCGTAACGGGGACAAGGGGAGTGCAATCTCGGGCCAGTGGATCCGTCAGCAGCCCTGGCTGCTGGTGTGATTGGCATGGTGCTTACTTAGCAAGGTGGGGCTGGCTTCCAGAAGCCTAGGGGCATTTTCCATCATGCAAGGCATCGCGCGCGTTGCGAAAGTGCCATAGGCACAGCCTCCCATGTGTTCGTCAGCTTTGGAGTAAGCAGGGAAAACTGCCAGGTTGACGTCGCTGGGGCTGGATTGGGCTTCCTACGAGAGTTTTGTAATGAAATGGAGACATAATGGCTCTCCGATGATGGTGAAAACGACCAGTTGTTCGCTTCGGGAATTAGATTCCCGCATCGGCCTAGCGACGGCGTACTAACCGTATTCATCGAGTCGATGACCCCCCTCCGATCGCCAAGCAGCATAACGATGAGACGGGGCCAAACGTCCAACCAACGAAAAGCACAAAAGACGAGCTCATCACCCCAGGATGCAGGTGGAACACAGCCTTCGTTGCACTCGTCAAATCCGTCGCATTCATCGTATCATGACCCAAAGGCCTTGAACGTGCCATCCATCTGCGGGACGCGTGTTAATTGCCCAAATCTAAGGTTTCCCCACGCCGAGGGTGACAAGGCCAGAACAGCCTCGAATCCTGAATTCCATCGTTCGCTTTACTCGGGTTTTTTTCTGCTTTGCACTGCCCAGCACACTCGTTCATCACCGTCGCTGACGACGATTTATTCAGTTTAAATCGTGCACCATGTCCCTTGTGGCGCTGCCGTGGGACACGAGCACAACGAGTTAGTCTTTTTTTTTTTTTTTTTCGGGTTTTATTGACTTTCGATTCGATTTATCACACGGGAATACATGGTCGCAGAGACGTCAAGTAGTTGAGACACAACAATAGCGACCCTGAGCGAGACCCTGACGCTGCCTGACCAATCAATCCGTCCGCGCAACGCCATCCTGCAGTCCCATCTCGCGCCTCCTAGGCGATTGAGACTGAAATATCATCAATAACGATATCAACACCTTCATCGATCATCACCATCGTCGCCGACCTTAGCGCCTTCGTGCGCCCGGCCTGCCGGGGTTGATACCCCATACATTTTGATCTGAAATATACGGAAAAATCAGGAGGATAATCGAAGGATAACCATCGCCAAAATGCTCCTCCTGCGCCAAACGCATACTTTGGTCTGCAAGACCCTTCTCATTACCCTCTCTCGCCATCGCACCCGTTCCTGGCTGGTCGCTTTCATTATCCCAATCATCTTGACTGCATTTCTTGCTTTCGCTCGCAACCTGTTTGTGCCTGATGCCCAATTCGGTATCGGTCACGTCCGTCCTTTGAAGTCCCTGCCCGAGGCCCTGAAGATTGGCATCGATGCAGGAAGGAAGAACATCGTTTTTATCAACCAAGTGCATGATGGGGTTGGCAGTCAGGCTGTCGATCAGGTCATCGACCTGCTGAAGCAGCAGGCCGAGACGGTTTCCGGAGCAAGTGTCACTGTTTGGAGGGACGACAGCCAGCTTCCCTGGCTGTGCCGCGCATCGCTCAGGGGCGTGACTCCTTGCTTTGGTGCGATTCAGTTCAAGGGAGCTCCCGGAGAGGATGGACAGGGCATGTGGAATTACACTATTCGTGCTGATGGCGCCCTGGGTTTTGGACGAATCTATGTCAAGAATGATGACAACGACGCTGAGGTTTACATGCTTCCTCTACAGCGGGCTGTCGACATGGCCATCGCAAAGGTTAGCGGCATTGAGTTTCCGGAGCTGCAGGACGAGTATCCGTTCACGTCGATGACCCAGGATGAACGCAGGGACTACATCCGGCAGCTGTTCCAGGATGTGCTGATCAACTGGCTGGGTGTTACCTTCATTGTCGCACCGATCTTTGTGGTCTACCATCTGGCCGGTTTCGTAGCTACCGAACGGGAGTCTGGAATTTCGACACTGATCGACGCCATGATGGCCGCTCCAAGCCCCTGGCTGCCCCAGGCCGCGCGTTTGATGTCGAACCACATCGCCTTCTCGCTCGTCTACCTCCCCGGCTGGATAGTCTCGTCGCTGACGTTGTGGTCGAACGTCTACCGCCATACCAGTGCCGCCATTGTTCTCATACACTTTGTGCTGTCTGGTCTGGCGCTCGCTTCCCTAGCCATCTTAGGGGCTTCTTTCTTCAAGAAGGCTCAGCTTAGCGGCGTGTCGATTACGATCATTTTGCTCGTGTTAGCCATCATTGCACAACTTGTGTCAGAGCCAAACACCGCGACGGTTGTGGTACTTAGCTTGCTCTTTGCCCCGTGCAACTTCACCTTCTTCATCATCTACCTTTCGCGCTGGGAGAAGGAGCAGTTGAGCGCAGATCTGAGCAAAGTTGCGCCTGAGTCGCCGTGGAACGTGCCTGGTATCGTGTTTTGGATATTCCTCATCATCCAGATTTTTGTTTACCCGATCATTGGCGCCTTTGTCGAGCGCTGGCTTCATGGTACGGCTTCCAGTAGCCGCAACATCGTCACTGAGAACAACCGCGGGGATCTCGACCCTGATGTTGCGGTCCGTCTTAACGAGTTCACCAAGATCTACAGCCCCGGTCCCCTGCGTCGCACCTTCGCCTTCATCTCCAAGCCCAAAGATCCCGTCATCGCCGTCAATAAGCTCAGTCTTTCTGCCCGCCGTGGACAGATCCTTGCTCTGCTCGGCGCCAACGGCAGCGGCAAGAGCACCACGCTCGATACGATCGCCGGCATCAATAAGGCAACGGCTGGTTCCATCACCATTGACGGCACCGGCGGTCTCGGAATTGCTCCGCAGAAGAATGTTTTGTGGGATGAGCTCACTGTGGAGGAACACATTCGCATCTTTAACCGTCTCAAGTCTCCCGACAAGCCTGCCACGAAGGAAGAAATTCGGGAGTTGGTCAAATCCATCGACCTGGAACAGAAGCGCAAGGCCCAGTCGCGCACCCTCTCTGGCGGTCAGAAGCGCAAGCTCCAGCTTGGTATGATGCTCACGGGCGGCAGTGCCGTCTGCTGCGTCGACGAAGTCTCGTCTGGTCTGGATCCTCTCAGTCGGCGCAAGATCTGGGACATCCTGCTCGCTGAACGTGGCAAGCGGACCATCCTGCTCACAACACACTTCCTTGACGAGGCCGACCTTCTGGCAGATTACATCGCGGTCATGTCGCGTGGCACGCTGCGCGCACATGGCTCTTCGGCTGAACTGAAGGCTCGTCTTGGCGGTGGCTACCGGATCCATGTCAACAACCTGCGCGGAATCGCCAGTCTGCCGGAGATAGAGGGCGTCACGAAGAAGGCTTCTCGTGAGGAGGCTGCGTATGTCGCGCCCTCATCGACCATGGCGGCTGCTGTCATCAAGCAGCTTGAGGCTGCTGGCATCACGGATTATCGGTTTTCGGGCCCGACGATTGAGGATGTGTTTTTGACGTTAGCCGAGGAGATGCAGGCTGGACAGCAGAGCGCGCTCCCGAGTTCTGCTGATGATGAAAAGTCGACTACGCAGGAACAGACTGTCACTGGGGAGGAGGCCGATAAGTGTGAGGACCTGCAGCTGTTGTCTGGTCAGCCGGTTGGGTTCCTCCAGCAAGCTTGGGTGCTTTTCCGCAAGAGGGTTGTTGTTCTCAAGTCGAACTGGTTCCCGACCCTGGCGGCGTTTGCCATTCCAGTTATAGCTGCGGGCTTGGTCATGCAGTTTGTCAAGGACCAGAAGGCTGTCGGATGCTCTCCGGTTGAACAGTCGTCCAAGGAAGAGTCGGTCAATATATTTGCCAGCGACTTCGAGCTCTTTGTGGTCGGCGGTCCGGATAACAGATTTACGAGGGAGAATCTGGCTCGGCTGTTCGCTCCGATCTTTATCAACTCTGCCGGCGGCAGCTTGTTCGCCAGGGACACCATCGACCCGACGGCTTTCTTGCGCAACATCACAGCTGTTCCCTCGCTTGACGCTTTCAACCAGGCCGTTGTCGACTATCGCAAAAACATCACCCCGGCTGCCGTCTGGCTCGGCGATGGCAGCTCTCCCCCTCTCCTTGCTTATCGCGGTAATGGTGCCCAAATGGTCAACGCTTGGCTCGGTCAGTGGCTCATGGACATGATGCTTGCCAATACCACGATCGCTTCGTCGTTCGTTGTCTTCGACACTCCCTTCGCCCCCGGCACCGGCAACTCGCTGCAGCTGCTCGTCTATCTCGGTCTTGCCTTGTGCGCCTACCCGGCCTTCTTCGCCTTGTACCCGAATCTGGAACGCCGCCGCTTTGTCCGTGGCCTGCAGTACTCTAACGGTGTAAGGCCCCTTCCTCTGTGGCTGGCATATACCCTGTTCGACTTCCTCTTCGTACTGGTTGGTGCTGTGATTGGGATTGCATTGTTCGCCGGCATCAACCCTGATGTGTGGTACCACGTTGGGTATCTCTTTCTTGTTCTCATCCTCTACGGTCTGGCGTCGATCCTCCTCGCATACAACATCGCCCTCTTTACTCGGTCCCAACTCGCCGCTTATGCCTTCACCGCAGCCGGTCAAGTTGTCGCGCTTCTCCTGTATATCGTCGCGTACATGTGTGTCATCGCGTACGCCCCGGTCCACAAGGTCGATGAGCAGCTGGTTATCGTACACTTCACTATGTCCTTGATTGCCCCGATCACCTCTGTGGTCAGGACTCTTTTCGTTGGCCTCAATATCTTCTCGACGGCTTGCAACGAATGGGAACTCTCTACCAACCCTGGCGGCATCATGTACTACGGAGGCCCGATTGTCTACCTCATCGGCCAGTCTATCGTTCTGTTCTTCACCCTCGTCTACTTTGATGGCGGCAGCGCGGGCTACAATCTACGTCGCATCTTCTCCCTGTCCGCCCCCTCTTCCCTGGCCAACGACTCATCTCGTGATCCCCCCTCCGACGAGGAAGTCGCCGCCGAGCTCCTCCGCATCAAGTCGACGACGACCGCCACTGACGCCAATGCCCCTCCAACCGACGGCCTCCGCGTCCTCAACATCACCAAGACCTTCGGCCGCGGTGCTCGCGCCCTCACTGCCGTCGACAACGTCACCTTCGGCATCCCGCACGACACAGTTTTCGCCCTGCTCGGCCCCAACGGCGCCGGCAAGTCGACCACCATCTCTCTCATCCGCGGCGACATCTCGCCGTCCCCCGGCTCCGGCGACATCCTGATCGAGAACGAATCAGTCACGCGCAACCTGGCCGCCGCGCGCGCCCATCTCGGTGTCTGCCCCCAGTTCGACGCCATCGATCTCATGACTGTCCAGGAACACCTCGAGTTCTACGCCCGCGTCCGCGGCGTGCCCGATGTCAAGCACAACGTGGACGCCGTCATTCGCGCCGTCGGCCTCGAGCCGTTCCGTACCCGTGCTGCGCACGCCCTTTCTGGGGGTAACAAGCGCAAGTTATCCTTGGGCATCGCGCTCATGGGTAATCCGGCTGTTGTCCTACTGGATGAGCCCTCGTCTGGCTTGGACGCGGCCGCGAAGAGAGTCATGTGGCGCACGCTGGCTGCGACAGGTAAGGGGCGCAGTTTGTTGTTGACCACGCATAGTATGGAAGAAGCAGATGCGCTCGCGTCGAAGGTGGGTATCCTCGCGAGGAGGATGCTTGCTATGGGCAGCGTGGAGGGCCTGAGACGCAAGTGGGGTGAGAGGTTGTACTGCCATGTGGTGTGTGCCGATGGCGTTGATGTTGAGAGGGTCAGGAGCTGGGTCAAGAAGAGGTTTGGTGATGGTGTGGAGATGGAGGAGAGGAGTTTCCTGGGGCAGGTTAGGTTCAGTGTGCCGATTCAGGCAATCATGTCCTCTGAGAAGCAAAATGATACTGTTGGAAGCAGCGGCAGTGTCATCGGCAGGATGGTGGTGCTGCTCGAGGAGCAGCGTGCCGCGTTAGGTATCGAGCATTACAGTGTTAGTCCGGCGACGTTGGATGAGGTGTTCTTGGCGGTTGTGGGCAAGCATAATGTACGCGAGGAAGGGTATGAAGCTGAGAAGGAGAAGAGGTGGTGGGATTTCTCGGCCATTTGGAAAAGGAGGTAGGGTCAAGGGATGATGGTCAGAGTTGCAGGCATTTGATGTTGATTCCTATTAGATGGGTTATCTGTGTACATGCCGTGATGACTAAAGCTACAATATATACTGTAATACAGCACTGCTTTATTAGCGCGGCACTTTCTACAAGCCACAGCAAGGGTATTTATCAGGGAATCAAGCTGATCGAATCCGGTGCTCGAGTGAGAGGCATTAGCCTGTCTCGAGAAGGTTTGAAGGCTGCCAGTACGGCTACGATAAGCCAAGAGGAAGTCTCTGGGATGGGCTCTGAACTGAGCAACGACTCGCAATGTAAAGATTTCAAGTCTCCACGCCAAAAAAAAAAAGAAAAAAGAAAAAAAATAACACGGTTGTATTGTAAAGTAGGAGACCCTTGTAACCGGATCGTACAACATCTCAACAACTACGAAGTCTTTTAGCGAGCAATATGACGCATCAGCAAAGGTTCAAGGTACTAAAGACTTTACTTTGGTTTACATTGAGTATACATGCGATACGAAGACATAAGAGGATGCAGCTGAGAATCCCCAACTCATATGATGCCTACTGCATTAAGGCATTGAACAAGTAGTAGGCTTGCAAGGTAGACTCAGCGTCAGGGTCTAGTACCCGGAAATTGTGGATTTAGAATTTGTATCTACAGAATTGATTTGAATTCTAATGTTCGACCGATCCCACTCTTGAGGGTGTTAGGTTATATTCACGAAGACGACAGACAATAGTTAACTAATAACCTTCACACATGTAACACCGGGGAACGGCCCGTGCCGGGGCAAAACCGCTATGAATAAGAGGGAAGGAATGCAGGGGTTGTGTGTCGTGGGTCGGGCGGGGGTCACTCTCGCGCGATCCCCGGGATATGACTCTCCAGCTCCGACACCAACTCGGACGAGTCGCTATCGGGGTCGCCGCCCACATGGGGCCGGGGTTGAGCACGTAGAGGGGAGCGGGAGGGGCGCCACGTCGGGATGGGGAGCCCTGTAGCAGTGTCCCAGACCTGGCCCTGAGCTCGATCTGGGAGGCCCTGGACCTGAAAAATTGGAAGGAGGACCAGAATGCCCTCGATCCAGCCTACCAGAAAGTGGGTTGTTGAAGGTGGTGAGGGGACAGAAGAAGAAGTGGCTCCTGGACACGACCCTGCCGCAGAGGCACTCCAGGAAATCGCCGTGGCCCGAGGCCTCCGCTAGCCAGCAGGAGAGGCGCGGTCGAGAGAAGCTCTCGAGTAAGGGCTTTGCTGTGTGCCCATTCGAGCGCGCCGAAGGGGATTTATTAGCCTGCTACCACCCACACATATCTGGAAAGGGCACGCGTCGTCTCCTAGGGGAATCGGGGGGCAGGGCGAGCCACGCCATGGTTCCTGGGCGTTTAGGCTCTCATCAGTGTCTGGCCCCCAGACTAGAGGCCGCTTGATGCAGACGAGACCAGCAGTGGTAGGGGGTCGGGCCAGCCTGACCTGTAGGGGGTGGTTGGCCGGCAACATCTCGACACGGTTCTTCCACCGTGCCCTCTCCCTCTCGAGCAGGTACTCAGGGTACAGGCAAGCCAGCCAACAGAGCCATGGGGTTGGTAGCGGCTGCAAAGTTTAGACGATAGTTCTACAAAAGGGTTGATGTTGCAAAAAAAAAGCCCTTTCCTGTATAGGTACGCAGCCCTGCTGATGAAACACATCATATCCTTGCTTTGCTCAGAAACAACTGAGCTTTTGGAGGATGTAATATCATCGTTATATTATCTAAGTCATTATCGATATTAGATACTATCGAAGGCTAAGGTGTAAGGTTGCTGTACCCCTTGCCTACCTCCCTGAGCAGTGCAGCTTTGATGGCTTAGTTTCCAAAGGACTAGGAAACTCTGACGATTCCACAACCTCCCGAAATGGGTTCGAAGGTAGTGGTCGGGCTGTAGAATCTGAGGGACTAAGGTCCTCATACACCAGAATGAATTGCTTACTCTAGTCACCAGTTGTAGGTATATAACTGTTTGTATTGCTGACTGAGGAATTCTCACCGCAGTTCTTGGGGCTACGGCAAAGACAGGCCCCCAAGAACGATCTTGGTAGTTCAATGCAAGCTAACACGGTGATGCAGGTCAACCAATGCGGAGCTGGTCCATTGGAAGTTATGGTTGACGGCATCTCGGGCGGCACCAACCTTGCTGCCTTCAAGCTCGCTGAAGTTATCCGGGACGTTCCCGGGTTTAGCTTCCAGGACCTCAGCCTGTCAAACAGGCAGAGGAAAGGTTTGGCCAAAGGGCCGTCCCATAGGCTGGATTGTGGTTTATTGGCCCTCCACCATAATGCCATATCCGGAGGCGGGACTTTTTGCGGCCTGGGCGAGGCTGGGGGAAGTCCGAGCCAAGCTCTAGGCCCCGGAAGGCGTGACTCCCAGAGGGCCTGATTAGATGCCTTGAGCTGCCTGATGCAGACGAGACCAGCCTTTGTGCTGGGAAGTCTGTAGCCTTCCCCATAGCGGGTGGTCTACTGGATGGAGATGCATTGGGCTGCAGCTATACTTGACTGGTACTTTCTATTGCAAGGCAGGAAAACATTCTCGTCCATTTCATAAAGTATCTATCTGGCAAGCCTAGGACGCTTCCACAGGGCACCCTATCCCATTACCACGCCTCCCTCGCTCCCCTCTCGCAATCCCGCCCCAAGCCCCGCGTGCTAATCATCTAGACTCTGAGCCTAACGACCCGGGGTAGGTCCCAACAAGGTACATACCTAGGGCTGGCCGGTTTCAAGAACCTTCCCCTGTACATAGTACACTGCACTCCCTCTAACCCACGCCGGTTTTACCCTATGCGGCTTTTTCCCGGCGTTACCTGTATTTAGTTCAACTCAGGTAGCTTTTGCCCGCCGACGTCGTGGGCACGACCCAGCACCCTCGGGGTGAACCCGGTCGAAAATTAGAATTAATAAAGTATCTATCTATCTATGTAAAGGTCGCTTAACCCTTCCTACGCAAGGGAAGCATTTTCCATTCCAATCAAGGAGGCCTTTGATCAGTTCTGTGAACATTAGCTTCCATGCAAATTCAGGATAGGGGACGTTACTTGTGTCAACGTCAAAAACTGTCACACTAAAGGTCATCAATCCGAGAGTGGAAAAATCCTTGACAATGGAGACTTCCAGTCAGATTTTCAGCAAGATATCTTCTACACCGAATGGGAACAGATGATTGCTGATTGTCTCGATAAACTTGAATCAGAATTACAGAAACCGGAGAGTCACAATCAGCCAAAGAAGGATATCCCTCAGTTGCATTTGGAATCACTACAACAATTATCCGCGGTGTTCGGCGAAAATGCTAGATTCTTCAGTAATTCGACTTGCTTATGCTGCATTTGCAATATTCCAGAACACCCACTACCTTGTGGACATGTTGTATTCACCTCTTGCGTCGGTGTGTTTGGAAAACAAGTGGACGACAACATCTATGCAATATGCTCTTGTCCATTCGCTTGCAATCAAGAGTCACATTCTTTCTCCCCAGTCCGCATATATTTTAAGCCAACGGGTGCGGGGGTTCGCATTCTCTGCCTTGATAGGTAAGTCACTTCGATAAGTTCAAGGATGTTCCTTTTTTGAGTTCAAAGCCGACTGATATGTATCTATTTAGTGGTGGTATCCGTGGCATTGTCGAATTGGTTGCCCTCCAAGAAATTGAAAAGCAACTTGGCCATCTGATTCCAATACAACATCTCTTTGACCCCATTGTGGGCACAAGGTAAGTGTATAGCTTCATCTTGTGGTCCTCAAACTTGAAGTATGTTCAGGGCAGATGCTGATTATGTATGTTGCTCTTAAGCTCTGGCGGGATTATTGCTCCCGGCTTAGGTGTTAACCATGTTCAGTATCTCAGTTCAGGAAAATCTTCTGAGAACTCTGCAATGAAGCATTTACACCCCGCAATATCGAGCCCTTGAAACCATTGGCCCTCGTTAATCACCACAGCTATTACAAGTCAACTCCTCTGGAAGAAACTCTCAAGGAAGCGTTGGGTGAAGCCTCCCTTTTGGAGGTAAGTCTTACTCTGCATCGAGCGATGGGAGCCTCCAGAAATCTGAACTCCAAGGCAATCGCATAAAGGTTGCTGTTACATCAACTGAGGCGATAGAATACCGACCGATTGTATTGGCAAATTACAACAGGCCTGACGTTACTGGTGGAACTCGTACGTTCCAACTGGTCATTAAGCAGGCATCGCAGAGAGAAAGTTACGTACAGATCTATACTTGACAAAGGACCCTATTACTTTTTGAGGTCTCGAGATCCCTCAGAAGAGTTGAAAGTGTGGGAAGCGTACGTCAAGAAAATCCTCTCCTAGTGAGATTCTTCCTGTTAATCCATGCAATGGCAAAACTAATATTGTCCTAAGACGCGAGCGACATCCGCGGCCCCACGATACTTCAGGCCCTTTGTCCAGGAAGTAACCGGAATGTCCTTCATTGACGGGGCTATCCATCATAACTGTCCAGTCAATGTGGCAGATAGGGAGTATCAACTGATTTGGGCTGACATGCGGCACCACGAACCCGACCTTCTGTTGTCGATCGGAACAGGAATTCGGTATAAAGCACGTGGCGACCACCAGGATCTCAAGAGCGCCGGCAGGAAGCTCCAGAAAGCAGTCAAACGCGTCGGGGGAATCTTGTATCTCTGGAGGACCGTTAACAGCATGCTCGACAACTAAATAGACTGTGAGCAAACTTGGGGAGAACACTTCTCTAAAGTTAGTCTCCAGCGAAATGAAACCCTTTCTAGGGAGTCAAAGAGACGGCACGTCCGGATCAATGTTTCATTAAAGGGAACACCACCCAAGCTTGATGATGTGGACAGAATCTTGCAGTTGGCCAAGGATGCTCAAAGCTATTTTAGTCGGAGCCCGGAGATCAAAGAAGTGGCACATAGACTAATTGCAAGTTGCTTCTACTTTCAGAAAGAGGGACAATATCGAGCCGAAGGGCGCCCCACATGCTACGGCATG